TATTTAAAAATAATAAGAGAAAAGTATGTGAAAATAATAAAATAAAATAAAATTGGCAATTTGTGTAAGCTTTTTTTTAAAACATTTATTTTATGTTGGGAGCACACATAGGGTAGGCGGCTTATGAGCGGTCTTCTTCATTCGTTTCATTTTTGGTGGAAAGGATAAAACATAGAAATTTAAAAAACCACAAAATGGTTAATTTCGTGCTTTAATTTTGTTTTTCTCTTTCATTATTAAAAATTTCCAATTTATTGACACACAAATATGGAAACAAAGAATTTTGATTATTTGGTGTTTTCTTTTTTTGTTGGTTTTGTTTTTGAATTGAAATTTGAGAAAATTGAGGAAAACGTACCGAACTAAACCAGCCCTTGACCCGCTGTGCCCACCCTTGTCCGCCAGGTGATGAGGCTGTTGATGTATTATTATCATCCTCATTCTCACAATATGCCTACGAGAGATCAAAACGCGCGCGTTCGCAAACATATCCAAAACAAACAAAAACAAATATTGGAGTGGTTTTTTTTGTATATATATGAATGATTTATATCAAATACACTTTCATGTATGTCTATACATATTTAAACAAGAGCGATACCAGCCCCGGTTTCCACATGTCCGATTATGGTAACGAACGAAAAATCTTAATGATCAATTTATTGATCTTAACAGTGCAATAAATCGTTCACTGGTTGTGTAATAAACAAAAACAAATTCGTAAAACATGACCAAATTAAACTGTCGCTGGAAGAGGTTTCTTAACCAGACATTGAAAACCGAGACTAGATGGGAATTAGTTAAGAAGAGCGAATAGGTAATACGATTAAGGCCCGCCTTCTTATTTCAATTGTTGTTTATAAATAGCTTGTAGCGGTGCACAGTACAAAGATGAGAAAACGGACCTTAACAATTAAGTCAACCAATCAGAAGTTATTTCGGAGGTATGAACAATTATGAAGGTTTGCAAAGCCGCAACAAAACTGTTAAGCAAAGAAACTAGTCTACAGAATAATAATAATAATAATAATAGGTAATTTAAAAGGAAAACCAATTTTTGCTAAAATCTGGTGAAAATTGTAAAAATTTCTAACAAAATTATGATTTATTTACACTAACTTTGACGGAAGGACTGTGTTAGAGTTACGTTAAAATCGCGCTACCAAGCTAAGTATTTAAAAATTGCAATTAAAGAAGACTTATTTTACAAAAAAAAAAAAAGACAAAAACGCCTTTGCGGATAAAACCTAATATGGCTACGCCGTAGGGGCGGTTAGTAAAACAAAACTAATACAGAAACGACAACAGTAGAGCAACCCCTATCCACAACAGAAGATGATGAAACAGTGATTGAGTGAATTGATTGGGAGATGGCGGACTCACCTCCTGCTGGCCATCTGTGGGTTCGCCAGTGTTGTTTGCCTGCTCGCCAGGTTTCTCCTCGCTGGCAGCCTGCTCGGCTGCTGCGGCAGCCTCTTCCGCCTCCTTCTTCTCCACCAGGGTTGCCGAAGAGATCAACACGATGCCATTGTTGTTGATGCGCACCTTCAGCTTCACATCCTGGCCCTCACCGCGCTCGGTGGGCTTCACATCCTTGACCTTCCACACGCCAATCGTTTGATCCGGATATGGCACCTGCTGGCCATAAACAATCGAAACGTTGAAGGGCCCCTTGCGGTTGATTGTCAGCAAGCGGCTGAACGGCGACGCATGGAACTGTGGGAAGATCTCGATCTCTCCCGGAGCGGCGGAACCCTCGCTGTCCCACAGCACCTTTACGGCGTAGTTCTGAAGATCGGTGACGCCGAATTCACGGACGCGCACAGCCGGCGACATAATAGCGCATTGCAGGGCAGCACCGCGGGACACAGCCTCATCCTGGTTCAGAGTTGTGCTTGCCGGCTTGTTAAAGACCTTTGGAAGACAACAAATTTGTCATAAATTAACTAGAAATATTAAAAAGCTAATTAAAGCCAGAATTGGAGCTTAAAGCTCACCTGCTCAATGAGCTGCTTCACGGATGGAATGCGCGAGCTGCCGCCAACGATCTCCACCGAGTGAATGTCGTCCAGCTGCAACTTGGACTCGGCCAACAGGCGCTTGAAAGTCTGCTCAACACGCTCCAAAACGGGAGCGCACAGTTCCTCCATCTGTGAGCGCTGCATGGACGACGAGACGTCGATGTCGTCCAGGAAGCACTCTATGTTCAGCGGCAGCTTGGTGCTGTTGGCAGACATCTGCTTCTTAAGCTTCTCGATCTCGGTGAGCAGGCGCAGATTGGCACGGGCATTGGTCTTGGCGTTGATCTTGTAGCGCTCCTGGAACTCCTTGGCAAAGTAATCGCCTAGGGCTAAATCAATGTCGCGCCCACCGATCTGGTCCCAGGTGCTGGCCAGCATCTTCAGTTTGCCCTTGGTGAAGGCACAGGCACTGGCCTGCAGTGACGAGTGCCCAAAGTCCACGAAGATCACGTTACGCGGCTTGTCCTCGAACAGGTCGTTCTTGTAGAAGCCGTAGGCAAGCGCCGTGGCCGTTGTTTCGTTCATCAGCCGGAGCACATTCAGACCGGCAATCTGGGCGGCATCCAGAAGAGCACGACGCTCGGCATTGGTGAAAAACACGGGACAGGCGATGACGCAGTCGTTAACCTGCGTCTGCATGGCGGCCGCCGAGGTCTCCTTAAGTTTGGTGAAAAGCATCGCCGTCAGCTGCTCCGGCCCGAAATGCTGATCCTCCTCCAGGTAGTTCACCTTGATGCCGATACTGCCGTCACCGCGCGCCTCCACACGCGCTGGAATGCTCGTGAGTTCGTGTTGTACATGGGGATCATTAAATTTGCGTCCGAGCAGGCGCTTGAATCCGCCGACTGTGTTTTTCATGTTTGTCACCTGCTGGTTCTTGGCGGCCACGCCGATGATCCGCTTCTTGCCATCAAAAGCCACAAAGGAGCTGCAAGAGGGCAGGGTCAAAATGATCAGTTAGTGGATAGCTGAGCAGGTCATATAAGGCTAAAATATCGTAGTTCAATGCCGTTATTGGGAGTGTATGACTATTCAATCGATTTTAAATGAGTACAGTGGAAAACATACATATAAAAAACTAAATGAGTTTTTATGGAGACATTTTGTACTGGAAATATAAATAATAATAGAAACCTTCAACTGAAGGTAAATTATGAAAAGTCAAGCGTTAAAAATAATTAATTAAGAATATTGATAATTTCAATTACATAGACAAAAGTTGGTGAAGCAACCATTATTTAAATAACATTTAAAATATTTGATTACAAAATGTAACATAAAAATTATAAAAAAAATTAATAAATAACAGAAAAATCTGTTTGGATAACATTCTTTTTTAAATTTTGGTTTCATTAAAGAGTTTAGCATACAGGGGTTTCACTGTGTCTGCATACGGCAGTGTGCGTTTGTGTGCTGTCTGTGTTTGCCGGCTTTGAATTTATTTCTGACAACTTTGCACACGTTTTATTCTTTTTGCCGTATCTTCTTGGACCCTCTCTCTCTCTCTCTCTTCACAACAGCTGCTGCTTTCCTCTCTCTTCACACCTTTGATGCTGCCTTATTGACCGCATGACGCATGCATTGACATGTATTTGTGTAAGTGTGGTGTGCCAAAAAAGTAAGTTCGGACAAGTACGGGAAAGTAGAAGAGTGGAAATATGGGTCCCACGCATTTAAATCAAAGGCACTCATACATAGGCAGTCCAATAAATTGGAGAAGAGGGGAAAAAGTTGAAAGGGAAGAAATATGTGTGCTCATTAAAATTGCAACACTTTTTATGGAAGTGCAATCGGCCAAATTTAGGCCTCCCCACACAACCAAATACAAAATGTAATGCTCATATCTGGATACACGTATGTTTTTCGGAGCGTTACCCATAACAACTATGGAATTTTCTAGGCGCGCTCTCCTACAAACACACGCACACACACGCGAGGCATGACTTACAAATTCAACATAACCCCAAAAAGGCAAAAAAGTCGAACGATTATGCGGACAGCAAGCTTATCACTACAATCTGGGCCATAATCCGGAGAATCTGAACGTGGTACTTACGGTGTGGCCCGGAGACTGTAATCGTTGGCCAGAGTCTCTATACCGCCAGATCTGGCCGCCGCCACATAGCAGCCCTCATTGCCAAAATCGATGCCAATCACGGACATTTTCTTCGCCTCCTTTTCGTCTGGCCGCTTTTCCGATTAAATTAATTCAGTGCCGACACGCTTTTGGGTCTCTGCTGTTGTAGTTTTTTTGGAGGCGGAACAACGCGATCGCTTAATTTTCTTTGTTTTTCAGCTACTGCAAAATATATATATTCAAAGATAGAGACGGGAATTAGATAAAAAATATACTGGCACACATGTGTCGGCTTGCTATCTGCTCTTTTTGTATTACAAACAAGCCCAGAACATTCGATTCGATATATGCTTTACACATTCACATTAATTATGGATTTTGCTTTTCGCCTGCGAATGGAAATTTCTAGCGTCCGGCCTTCGTCACTTTTCTCACTCGCTCGCACGCAAAAACACCGTAGGTGAAACAACGTGGAAAAGCGCTCACTTTGTTTGGCTTTTCTTGAATAAATGAGTTATCACATGTGGGGCAGATTAGTTACGCACGTTTTGGCTGATAATGGGTAAACACCTTCGGGATCAATTAAATTCTAGCAATTTCAACTCGGCACCGCACGTTTTTTACTAGAGCTGGAAAAAAATCGATGTTTATTCTATACAATAGGTGGTTGCAGAAATTTAACTATCGATAGGTATGCTGCACTTATCAACAAATGACAGTTATCATTGTAAAAAGTGCTCTTTACACTGCCTTGAGTTGCTTTACGCGATAATCGTGCCCTCATTGGGCTAACTCAATAGCTCGAGTTACGAAGCTGTTTGTTTTGATTTTGAGACGGAAGGTAAACAGTTTTAATAATTTGGACGCAACTATCGCGTTAGCTATCGATAGGTAACTCGCGCCAGTGTGAAGAAAAAATTCGAAATGATTCCACCTGCATGACGATTCTTTCCGTTATTTTTGAAGTAACTTGCGCAAACTACGATAATACTTTATCTTTGTTGAAGAACAGTTTTATTATAGTTTTTAAATTATCCCTAACCCATCGGCAAGCTTAGGGAAACTTTTTGGATCCCTGTGACGGAGCTGGCCCCTCCACCGTCTCCTCGATGAGTAGTGGCGAGCTCCACCGCATGAGAAAGTAAGCAGATCCGGACTTGTCGTTCGTCCCGGACAGGCGATTGCCACCAAACGGAGTCAATCCATAATTGCTGCCAGTACATCGCTCGTTCACGTAAAGGTTGCTGGCGGACATGCGCAGTTGGTTGAGGCAGTGGAGGATCACCTCATCCCGACTGGCGAATATAGATCCGGAGAGCGCATACCTGGACTGGTTAGCGGCCAGCTTAAGTGCCTCCCCAAAGGAATCGTCTGCATAGACAAACACCGGCAAGAAGGGTCCGCTGCAGGGCTCGCACAACAGCGAATCCAGTGGATCCGTCACCCTGATGATCGTAGGTTGAACGAACCTACCAATGCTGTCGTCGCAAAAGCCTCCGCACAACTGATCCATGTTCTTAGTGCGCTCCAGAAGTTTCTGCATCCGGTGGAATCCGTCCACATTGACAATCGCCCCCATATCCGTTTCCAGCTGGACTGGATCTCCTATGATCAGCTGCTCCGTGGCCTCTAGCAAATCTGCCTGGACTCGCGGCCACAGAGATGAGGGCACGTACATGCGAGACAACGAGTTGGCATACTGCCCGGCGAATCCGAAGGCCGCCTGCATGGTAGCAGAGACCACGGACTCCACCTTTGCGCTGGCATGGACAAAATGAAAGTTCTGACCCGGACACTCGGCCACCAGACGGGGAAAGCAGATGTACCGCTCCATCCTGTCGCTCACCAGCTTGTGCACATGCCTGTAACCAGCCGCACTGCCTTGGGAATTCAATCCGGCAAAATGTACGGCATCCGTGATAGTGTCCAGGAACAGACGCTCGTTGGCGGGCACAAAATTGACCACTCCGCTGGGCAGACCAGCTTCCTGAAATGCGCGGTGGATGAGAAAGCTGGCTGGTGCCACCTCCAAAGAGGGATTCCACAGCACGGTGTTGCCCATCAGTGCAGGACAGAGAGCCAAACTGGCGGACAAAGCCACCGATTCAAATGGAGCTAAGGCAGCAACGAAGCCATCCATGGGCCGTAAGTGAAAACTGGGGAAGACATTCATATCGCCTTGGATCTCGAAGCGCAGCTCTGACAAGTGTTCCAGATAGTCGGCGTTGGCCCTCAGCGAGCTGAGCAGCCGCCTGATGTCCCGCGTCGCATCGTCGGCAGTTTTGCTTAGGGTCAACATCAGGAAAACTCGTAATCGCAACTCGTCCTCCTCGATGATGTTTGCCGCACGCCGCCAAATTGCCAGACGTTCTGCGATGGGTACCAGACTCCAAGTGCCCTGCGCCGACAAAGCCGACTTAATTGCAGTCTCGATTTGCTTACGATTGGCGTAGTAAACCTGTGCCAGGATCATCTTAAGTTGATGAGGGCAAGAGACCCGTTGCTTATCCATGGTGTACACCGGCTCATCTCCAATTATTGTGGGCACTTCCAGTGGCCTGCGTTGGATCTCCTGAATGGCATGATTGATCAGCACAGCCTCGTTTCTGTTTACCCTTGCAGAACCTTCCGCCGTCTGGTACTCAGATTCCGCATCTTCCTGCTTCTCGCTCTGCTCCTGCTGGTCCCTTGTTGCTTTCCCTTTGTCCACAGAGAGTCTGGCCTCTCCTGTGATGCTGGCCATCCCCAGCCGGCCACACCTAAAGGACCAACGTGTGGGGACCGCGAACCCCAGTTTGAGCATCTCGCTTAGCCTGTACAATTTCAATTTGAAGCTTTTAACAGGAATTTATTCTACATCTGCCAGTTTTATATGCGTATACTTAGGTGTAGAAAAATATATGTGTAAATGTGTGTTTAAACAGTGCGTTTCGCAGTTGTAAGACAGTTGCGGAAAGGGGAGTTTGTGTGCTGCTGAATTTGAAGGATTTCAAAACATAGGAGACAGCAAATATAAACATAAAGGTCCAATGTAGACGAATCACAAATTTTTGTGTTCAAATGATAAATTTTAAAAAATTGATATAAATTAAATGTTTTGGACTGGGATTTAAACAACTATCTTACAGTGCGGAAAGGCCCGTTTAATTCTTTGCCGCATTTTTGAGTTTGAAACCAAGTGCGCAAAACAAATTGTAAGTAGGAATGGCTCAAAAATGTCAAAACATAGATTTAGTGACTAACAAAACTTAGGACTAGGTGGCATTCGTTTCCGAACTTCGATGCTGTTGCATTAGGAATAATTTTGAACACATGGAATATACGTTGATGATGAGAGGACAAGTGCGGAAATCAGCACTTTCCTTAAAAGCTCATCTGGATATGTAGTCTTATGGGACTCGTTGTTTTCTTGGTGCTATCGCTTGAGCATTTTCGTCAGATTTGTGTGAAGGTAACGCGTTTCTAAGGTCACTAAGGTGCTAAACGTGCCGAGTCCATGTCCATCCAGCGGGGGAATGCTTCGGGGTTACGTCCTGGCCTTCTATTCGAGTCTTGGATTGCAGGTTTCTAGTATAATGCTATGCAGTCTCTTCTGGTCCCATTGTAATCGACGATTCTACAACTGTGCCGCCAATCCAGAGGCGGAAATGTTGTCGCCCGCCCCGGCCGTTTTCCTGGCCTCGCGACAGACCAGTACTGGGGCCACACAAATCTCCACCTCGAGACGGTGCCGCTGGCGACCGTACTCGATATACTCCCGCCAACAGGGCACGGGACTGGCTGCTCCGATGCGCATGCGAGGCGCATCCGTCTGCGCTGAGGTCGCAAAACTATCGTCCAGAACTTGTAGAACTGCCTCCGGATTGATCTGCCGAAGGTGAATTAAATTATTATCAGTGTAAGAGTAGGGGGACCAAACGAGGCTATTAAGATTCGATAAAACGTTTAACAAAACATATTAATAGTAAAGAATAAACTCGGATATCAAATATCTAACGTTAAACTAAAAAAATCATTTTCATAACATGCTTAATATTAGATTAATGGACTCACAAACTGGGACTTGCAGACGTATCGGTGAGCAGTGAGGGCCGCCTTGGCCGCCGCAGCCCGGGTGTTCTTCCACTTGGATCCGGCTGTGGTGAGTATGGCCTGGTAGGCCAAAGTATGAACGTGGATCCGCGAAATGCGACGCCGCCTGGGATCACCAGAGCTTCGGTCGCTGAAGTCCTCTAGCATACTAATAAAAACCTGCCGCATTTGGTCGAGGGTGTGAGCAATGCGAGGGTTCCAATCCGTTGCCAGGGTAGTCCGTCCGTAGGCCAACACCTGCTGCAGGTTGGAAAGCTCCTGTTCGTTCATACCCAAGGAGTCTACAAAGGGCAGGACAAAATGTTGGAGCTGCTGCAGTAGCCTTAACTCCACGTAAGAGGCCATCTCGAAGTGGTTCAGAGTATCGGCCGGCTGGCTGGTCAATTGCCTCTGCACTTGTTGCAGTCGTGCCTCACGCTCGCCAGGATTAAAGGTGAACATGTCCATCATTTGAAGACCACTTACAACCAGCAGTTGCGGGTGGTACACCTTCAGCGCATCCGTCAACTGCTCCACGGCGCTCAGATGCGGATTGTTTCGGTCGTTGTGCAGGATGTAGCGATTGGCGCGGGGCGCCACATACGAGCCCCAGGTGTCGCCGGCCTTGTACTCCAGAATAAGGTGTATATCATCGTTCGGAATCTCGTCCCCTGCCAGACGGATCTCCTTGGGCAAAAGCGGACGCAATCTGGAGAATATTTTGGAATTAATTAACAGAAATTTTTAGTTTATATTTTAGATATTACTTTTTCGACATGTGGGCGCCCAGTAAAACTTCAGCTCCCTCCATAAAAAAACGCACAGCCATCAGCGGGGCGTTTCCACCCATGTACCACTGGATCCGCTCCTTATCCATCACCTTAGCGTAGCCCACCAACTGTTTAAAGAGAGTACTATTTGCCATTACACGCCTGAAAGGAGAACAGAAAATTTTAATCGGTAGTTCATGACTACATATAACAATTTTTATGTAACCTAAAATATTTATTCAAAACTAAATTTTATCTGGTCAAATGAATGCAGTTAACCACTAACGATTTGTAACGTATATCCATTGGAACTGAATGACACCAAGTTTTTGGTTAGGGGCTTTAATCAAATGCATAAATCCACTGGATTTAAAGACAAATTTTAAAAATAAAGGAAACCTAAAGCTTTGTTGACCAATGCTTCGAAAACTAATCATTCATAATTAATAAGATATTTTAAATCCTTCTACACTTTTATAAATTTAACGGTGAATTCCCGGACCACCATTAATTATACCAACTTACTCCGCTGCAGCACCGTTCTGAAAGTAATAGGCAAAGGACTGCAGCAGCTCGTCCTCGTTGTTGACGATCTCCCGGGATCCTGTAGTGACTACGGGGATGCGCCGACTGTAGTAACGCTCTAGAAACTCAGTGGCGTTTATCTGTAAGTCAGTGCATGCCCCGTATCCGATGGCCACTTTGGGCGCCGGTTCCAGGGCTTGTCGCTTAAGTGATCTAAAATATTGGGACAGATAAATAAATAGTGCCATAACAAACTATTATAGTATTACCCCTCGATCGCCAAGAGGCCGGTGAGCAGAACCGTCGTCCTGTTAAGGGTCTGCAGCGATAGAAAAGCCTGCCAAATGATTGACACGAAGGCTGTAAAGACGGAGCAGCCGGTCAACCAACCCATGTAACGCAACGCAGTCATTGTGGGCGTGGTTTGTGTGATTGCTCGTCCTTTGTGCCCTCACTTCCAGTTTTTAGTCCCAAAGAACTTTGTCAATGACTTCCCGTTGCTCGACTACTCGTACTCTCCTTATCAGTCGAAATTATCGCCCTTTTTCCAATTGTTATTTTTTGGATGGGCTTTCTAGCCAGCGGTGGCACTATCAAGGTCCCTAAATAATCGCGATAGTATCGAGCTTGTTGGTTTTTTAAATTCTGCGATATTTATTTTAAGGAAATGCAATTTTGAGATTAAATATATACAAGTACTAAAACGTTTGTAAAAAGTTTTTAATTTATCACAATATTAAATATAAATAACATATTTTATTTCAGCTCACACATAATAATAATTACAGTTGCGTTAAATATTTTTAGCCATAACATAAGCCTTAACTTAAAAAATATTAACTGGGAATTAAAGTAATAATTCCCAATTGGTTAAATTCACTGCTTCGCCCTTATCAAAGTTCTCCACCGATAGGCATACTTGTTTTATGGCCTTTTTTAGTATATCTCTCACGCAGCAAAGTCATGTCTAACGGTCGAACTGCGGTCACACTGCTTGCATCATCTCCCAGCGCGTCTGTAAAGTGATAAAATAATTTTGCTTTTGAATCGCCTTGAGAATTTCCGTCACTCCATATATAAATATCGTGTAACAGCCTGATTTAGTCGGGCCCGAGAGCATTTCCCCCAATTGGTTGCGAATAGCTGTGAACTTCGCTAATTCGGCACGCTAATTGGCAAAGCAAAACCGATTCGATTCCAGGGAAGGAGACGCATAAGCAGAAGAAGGGTGAAGAACAAAAGGAGGAGGAAAACAACAGTTAATCGTCAAATTTTACAGGCAAAAGGTGAGCAACTACGCCTTGCACACACATCCATGTACAAACATGCACACACAAACGGCTTATCGCCTGCGTATGGGTATATATACAAAATTAAAGCAATATTTGCACATCCGATTATTACTATAATATTTCGCGTCCATATATTAGCAAGTGTGAGTGCGCCTGCCCTGGATTTCCCTGCCAGTGTGCGTGTGTCTGTGTGATGAAATGCAATTTTATCTTAGCATTTTGCGCGCCTCCGATTTTCGTTACCCCTGTGATTCCTTCTTTCATTGCCCCCCATCTCCCATGTCGCCATTTTCGTACCTTCGCTAATCTCAATCTCTCACTTGCCTATGCCCCAAAAGGCAGTCCACAATGAGCTCCGCGGAAGAAAACAGCAACAGCCCGGCCACCACGCCCCAGGACAACGAGGCCGCCGAGCAGGTCAACCTCACGGATCTCGAGAAGATCGAGGAGGAGAAGCTCAAGTCCAAGTACCCCAGTGGAATGCGAGTACCCGGAGGTCACTCGGCCTTTCTCCAGAAAAGGCTGCAGAAGGGGGTGAGTGCTTATGACCTCCTAAAACTTTTTAATCCATGTAGCTAAGGACTGCTTCTAAATCAATAGTTATAGCTAACTGTAGATACATATATCCTAAAAACATCAATAAAATCTATATATTTTCGATCATCTTAATGGGGTTGCTGTTTACATAATTTTGTAATGATTGCTTTCCTAAATCTATAAAACTAATCTAAACTGTCAATGCGGTTTCATAGAAAACAGAGTAATAGGTTTAAATTTTGATATTGGTTTGGAAAATATCTCAGGAGTTTATCGATTTATGAATAAATATTTTGTACCTAATGGAAAATATTGAAAATCCATAAAGTCACATACCATGCTCATATATGTAACTTAATTTCTCCCCGCAGCAAAAGTTCTTCGACTCGGGCGACTACCAGATGGCCAAGCAGAAGGGTGGCAGCGTTAAGCAGGTCTTTGCCAACAAGGTGACCACCGGAGAGGCCATTCCCACGCCCGAAACCGTGCCGGCACGAAAGACTTCGATCATCCAACCCTGCAACAAGTTCCCAGCGACAAGCTAATTTACTCACCTCTTACACCTTCTATATCCACAACCTCAAATGCAGCCAGTTCCCCGTTCCCACTTCAAATGCTCTATATTTAATTTTAAAGAAAAACCTAGTGCTAAGATGGCTACTGCCGGATTGGGCAGGCATTTCGCGCGGAAGTTTAACCTGAATTTGAAGCTCCTCGTTCCCCCGTAAAATTTAAACGCCACCGCACCAGCCAATCTCAAGATCCCGTCATCAGTCCATCTCTCAGGCCGGGGAAGCGAAGATGGCAGAACGCAGCACGAAATTTATTGCAACAGTTATATATATCTCTATTTCTGTAACATTAACTAAACTTACCCTGATCGTACGTAGCTGTAAGTATTACGAGCATAATAAATTTAAGTTGGAGCCAGCCACACACATATACAGTTCTCGTACATTACTGGGATTCCCTCAACTTCTTATAATTTACATTTGCCTTAAAGTTTTAACAAAGACTCCATATTGCATGGAAAATATTTAAATTTTAAAGAGCTCCCAATCATAAGCGGTTGAAGGAATTTCTCTGAACATTTGATAATAAAATAGGTCGCTGCTGCTTGCAGAGTTAAATTATTAATGCGAAAGCCAAAATGTCGAGTTAAAATAAATTTGTAAATCAAGCAGAGCTAAAATAAATGTATGTACGTACCTACTAATAAGAGTGATGATTTCCTGGGGCGCTAACCTAACAACTGAATCGGAAGATGTGCCATACAAATGTTTGCCTAAATGATAAGTGCCTGAGTGGCAATGCGCCTAATTAGCTCGAAAACATTCGGATGAGAAAATCTGGTAATTTGTTATTTAAATCGACAGGCAAGCCATTCAAATAAACAAAAAGAATTGGACAGTCTAGAGAATCTTTGGGTTTTTAAGAATTGTAAAACTAAGATGCAATTTGATGATAAGATAGCGCAAAAAGCAAATAATTGTTAATATATGTATATAATATATATATAATATTTTTTTGGCAAAGAAATTAACTTTTTGGCCCACAGTGAAGTGTACAATAACCAGGTTCAAATCTCTGCTAAAGATATCAGAGTTTCCAACCTTTTGGATTTATATTTTTCTGGTATTTTGTGATATTTTGTAGTAAATTTTCGGGAGTAGTATCGGTATTATATTACAGTCAAGCCGCAACCACACTAGTGGAAGGCGCAGCGGTAATAAACGAGAAAAAGCCAAGTTTAAATGCAATTTTTCCGTATTAAATTGCAACTGAAATGCACTTCAGGTTAAGCACTGCATCGCCCAACAGTACCAGAAGTTCACGAACGGCTTAAAGTCGCGCAGAGGAGGGAAAACACGTTGAAATGTAGATGCCCACGAGCAGCCGCCGCAGTAGCAATAACAAAAGCAAAAGTGAAATTAGCGCCGCCAAAGAAGTGCAAGTGCTCAATAATAAGGCGGCGCCATGGAGAACCTCAAGATAAGCGACAAACTGTTCGAAGATGTGATCTACTTTGTAGTGGGAAACCTGGACGACGAGGTAAATCTGCGAAAAGAATCCTTCGCTGTTGCTGTACTTACATTGTGCATGTGTTTGTGTGCGTAGAGTGCGTGCGTCTGTGTTTGTTTTTACAGGGTGGCTCGAGCGCGGGCGGAAAGGGTGACCCGGGCACCTTAGCAAAGCGCGCCATAAATGTTGCCGGCAAATTGCCGCCTGCTCGTGTGTTTGTGTACTTGAGTTCGTTATAGTATTGGTGCAAAAATCAACTGAGTTTGTTTTGGTTTTTTCCTGCATAAGAAAATATGACTATTTAATACTCTTTTATGCGGTATTTTATACTCTTTGTTAGTCCACTTATTTCGTAGGATTTTTTACTCTGTTATTGAGTCCTTATTTTCTTTATCCAGGCAGCTAATGATTACAAATTAAACGAATCGGCAATTGGCAGTTTATAAACTGCATACATTTAAAGCTAACTTTATGGTAGGCTGAACAACATTAGATAGATCTTAAACGCTTATAAACTTTTATTACAATAACTTATAACTTGACCCTTTGACAGATCGAACGCTTTCTAAAGAGCGGTGGCGCCCAGTCGAAGCTGTTTCTGTCTGACCAGATCACGCATATGATATGTGCCACCAACTACAACGAGGAGGAGCTGTCTATGAACCTTGACCTTTACAGTGCAATTCCCGTGACCGAGCAATGGATCGTGCATAGCGCAAAGCTGGGCCGAATGGCCTCGACGCGGGCCTTCGACCCGAGTCCCAATCAGCTGCGTCTGATGCGCGGCATTCGAGCGGCCATCACCAATGTGGTGGCCGGGGATCGGAGGCGCCTCTACGCCATGTTGACCTACCATGGTGCCGTCGTTACGCATAGTTTCGGGGCCACTAACACGCATCTGGTATGCGGTGCGGCCAACGGTGGCATCTACAACAAGGCGCTGGCGCTGCCCAAGAATGCCATCATCATTGTGACTCCCGACTGGGTGACAGACAGCCTTAAATACAAGAACTGCATGCCGGTGGAGTCGTATCATCCCAGACTACTGAAGCCGATCGAAAAACAGAGAACGCAAAAGCAGCAGGCCACGCAGCAACAAATCCAGCAGCAACAGTTGCAACACCAACAGCAGCTGCAACAACAGCAACTTCAACAACAGCAACAACAACAACAGCAGCAGCAGATCATCCAGCAGCACACACCTCCTACATCCACACTGTCGGACATCCTGGGCTTCGGGGAGGACAGTTTGGCTGCCAAGAGCATAGCCAGCATCAAATCCCAGCTGCAAGCCTCTGCCGAACAAATCCAGCAGCAACAATTGCCAGTGCCCGCCCAGCAACAAGTGGTATTTGTGCGCCCCCAGCCGCAGGGGCAGCAGTCAGCGCAACAATCGCCACACCAGTTGCAACCAGTCGGACCCCAAGCACCTGCTCCACCTCCGCACCCACAGCATCAACAGCAATTGATAATACAGCAGCAGAAGATTATACCCGCCAATCTACAGCAGCAACCACAGAATCAGCAACAGATCAAAAATATCCTACAGCAGCAGAGGCAAATAAAAAACACACAGCAACAACAACAAATTCAAATGATTCAGCAGCAACAACTAATGCAACAGGATCCCCAGGCGCATCCACAGCAGCATCCACAGCCGCAACCTCTACCGCATCCCCAGCCCCTTTCCCAGCCAATTCCACAGCAGCACGCGCAACAACACCCCCAACAACAGTCACCCAGACTGCCAACAACTCCAACAGGTCGTCAGACACCACGAACACCATCGACGACACCGCAGCCCGTCCAATCCCCTCAGCATCACCAACAGTTAGTCCAACAACAACAAAGTGTGCAGCAACAAGTGGGTCAACAACAACCTATTATACAACAGCAGCAAATAGTTCAGCAACAAGTTCCCCAACAAGTTCAACAGCAACAACCACAACAACAATCTGTGCCTGTTTCTCCACAGGTCATACACCAACACCTAATGCGGCAGCAACAAATTTTGAACCAGAATCAAATGCAATTGCAGCAAATAGTTCAAAGCGGTCAAGCTCTAACTCCACAACAGCAACAACAGCAGAGACAAATTCAGCAGCAATTACAGCAAGTGCTGCAGCAGCAACAACAGTTGCAGATGCAAATGCAGCAGCAACAACAACAGCAGCAGCAGAATCTGCAACAACAGTCGCCACGGATGGTGCAAAACCGTTCGCCGGTAATGCCTCCGAGTACACCCTCACCATCTTTGCAACAGCAACAACACCATACCACCAGCAATATGTTGCCGCCACAGTCACCTCGTCAACTACAATCGCCTGCTCCACAGATGACTCCACCACCCCCGCCCTCGCCACAAAGCGCCCAACAGCAACATTTGCGTCAGCAGCAACAACAAATGCAGCAGAGTCGTCAGCAGCATATGATGGGCTCGCCGCAACAGCCACAACCGCCTTCTATGATGTCCCCGCAGCAACAGCAACAAATGCAACCCTTCCAACAGCCCGTCCATCAGCAACAGCGCATGCAGTTGCAGCAGCAGCAACAATTGGCCCAGCAACAACAGCAGCAGCAGCAGCAGAGTCCGCAGCATATTTCTCCCCAGTCACCCCAGATTTCACAAACTCCACCAATGCAAGCCAAGCTGCATCAGCATCAGGCTGTTCCGGGACATGCCGCCCAGCCGCAACAATCCTTCTCCCAGCAGAAGCCTATTGATCCCACGGATCCTGTCCAAGTGGCTCAGGTGTTAAGTCGTTCTGCATTGAGCAGCAATCAGGACTCGTTAATAATGAGGCAACAACAATTGAAGCAACAACAGCAGTTGCAACAACAGCAACAAATGGCACCACAACCACAACAGCAACAAATGCCACAGCAACCGCAGCAGCAGCAACAACCACAACAGCAACACACCCCGTCACCGCGACAATCTCCGCTGCAGCAACAACCCACCACGCCCACCTTACAACAGCAGACACAACCTCAAAATCCTCAAGTAAATTACAAATATTTTTTATATGTTTGCAGATATTAATACCCATTTCGTTTTAGCAAATTCAACAACAGCAGCAACAACAGCAGCAGCAACAACAACAGCAGCAGCAACAACAGCAGCAGCAACAACAGCAGCAGCAACAACAGCAGCAGCAACAACAGCAGCAGCAACAACAACAGCAGCAGCAACAACAACAGCAGCAGCAACAACAGCAGCAGCAACAACAGCAGCAACAGCAACAACAACAACAGCAGCAACAGCAACAACAACAACAGCAGCTGCAACAACAACATCAGGTCTTGGCACAGCAACAACCTCAGCCTGGACAACAAGTCATCACCCAGCGCCACGTTATAAACACATCTACGGCCCAAGGACAACAAATCATTCAGAGCCATATGTCTTTAGCTTTGCAGAAACAGCAGCAAATGTTGCACGTTCAACAGCAAACACAACAGCAGCCGCAACAGCAACAACAGCTTCCTCAGGCACAGCAACAGCTTTCCCAGGCACCGCAGCAACAACAACTAACACAACAACACCCCCAACAACAACAAGTTCAATTTACACAACAGCAGCAAATCGCGCTTGGGGGAGGTGGTCAAGTGCGAATAATTCAGCAAACAATTCAACGACCACCATCTAACGTCCAGCAACAGCAGCAAGTTTCACAGCAACAGCAACAGATTATTGGCCAATTTCCACAGCAACAGCAATTGCAACAACAACAACCTCAGCAGGTAGGTTTATTTATAAGATCATCATATAGCTTTCATAGGAGCGATCAGAAAATTAATAGCATAGAAGCTTCGACTTACCAATTCGAAGATTTTTGATTCGTTTGATTACTACGCTTAAAATATAAAAACACTTACAACATTTTTTGTCGTTTTTCAGCAGCAAATCCTTGGAGTTCAGCAGTCACAACAGCATCCCCAACAAAAAACGTTTATTATTAGTCAGCAGCACTTTAATCAGCTCAGCGTGCAACAGCAACAACAAATTCTCGCGCAAAATCCGCAAAGCCAAAACGTTTACGTTGTCAATCAGACCCAACAGCAACTTGTGCATCAACAACAAATGTTGCAGCAGCAGCAAATTATACCGCAGCAGCAACAACAGCAACGGATACAAATGCAACAACAGCCGCAACAGATTGTTGTAAACCAGCAGATACTTAGCGATCCGCAGCGCTTGCAGTACCTACAACAACAGCAGATGATGCAAAAACAACAACAGCAGCAACAACAGCTTGTTGGTCCGCCGCAACAACAGCAACAAATACTCATTCAACAACAGCAACCTCCCCAACAGCAACAGATATTGCAGCAAAAACTTCCCAACGACCCCCAGCAGCAACAGCAGCAACAAATAATGCAGCTCATCACACAGCAACAACTGCCGCAGCGCACGCCTCCCCCACAACAACAGCTAATACTGCAGCAACAGCAGCAATCACCGCAACACCATCAAATGCAGCAGCAGCATTGGTCACCCCAGAGCCCTGCTGGCGGTCAAATGGCGCCTAGCACCCCGGGAACGCCCACCAGTAGCGTGGGAATGCAGTCTCCATTGCCCGGAGGACCAACAACCCCACAGCAGCAGGCTCAACCACAACCACAATTTGTTGCGCGAGGATTGCGTCCGCAAACCTCTTGGCCGGGCCAGCCACAACAGCAACAACCGCAACCCCTTCAGCAGCAGATCGTGCTACCGCCACCTCAACAACAACAACAACAACATCAACAACAGGCACAGGTGGCGCAACAACAACAGCTGGTACTGCAGCAGCAGCCACAACAACAGAAAATAGTAGTGGATGAAAAGACTCACGCACATATTATGTCCCTCGATACTCTAAAGCGTGCCGAGTACATTACCAAGTTGAATCAGCAGAACAAACCGCGAGTAATGCTTCGTCAGCAGGTGGCTTACCAGCCACGACCCGGTGCACCGGGCAACATAGTCACAACACGACCGGCCGGTCCCGTTCCGCCCGGGCATATTATTGTCCAACAGCAAATGCCACCGGGATTAACGCCTCAGCAACAGGTACTCTGGTTACAGCAGCAGCAAGGAAAAAGACAGGTTGTTGTTCGTGCCGGAACTCCTGGCCTGAGTCCAATTCAACAGCAGCCGGGAGTGGGACCTCCGCAGCAGCAACAGTCGCCGCAACAGCAGCCTTTTAACCCAAATGATCCCAACCAGCAAATGCTGATGCAGCGGCAACAGTTGCGCGTCCAGCAGATTCCCATTCAGCAACAAGGGCCGCAGCAGCTGGGCAAGCAAACGGTGCAGCTCATCACTGGACCCAACGGACAGCTGATAGAACAACAAACGATTGTCCAGCAGCCACAGCAGCAGTCCACTCCGGGCACGCCCACCACTCCAGGCGCTGCGGGCGTTATTCCCGGAAATGCCAATATAATGACGCAAACTTTGGTCATGACAACAAGTAAGTTAAATATACGTATTGCTAGGAGCTACATAAAGTTTTACAAAATGTTATACATCCTTAAGGCAGGCTTGCACCTTGTGAGGTCAAAAAAATCTATTTTTTTTTTTTGCAGTTTCGGATACATACATGTTAAAATTTTACTCTCCTAAATTTTTAAGTCGAAATCTCTTGAATTACGAAAGTTATCGGCCGTTTGGTGGACCGGTGTCAAGCGCGTTGCCATTATAGTGCAAATTTTCAAACGCGTTTTTCTCGAAACCATGTTTTCCGAGTTGGCGGAAGTCGTACAAGCCGCAAAAATTGAGCAATCGTCATGAAATTTTTTGTACATGTTCCTCAGAAGTATGTGCATGGCATAGACTAGGATCTTTTGAAAATATTAAAAATTGTTTATTTAAAAAAAATAATGAGTATCGAAAAAATGAGGAAAAAACCGATTTTTTTTTTAAAAGCTCATAATTTTTGCATTTTTTATGTTTTTTCAATTATCCTAGTTCAAGCCATGCGAGCAAGTGTACAGATTCAAAATATATTCGTTTTTTGCGTGTCAGATTATTTCTTAAAATTCCAAAAAATCCGCCATGAGGACGAGTTTTTCGCGGACATGCCGCCATTGTTGGGTACTCCCCCTCCCCCCTTCGCTTGGATCGCACTCAAAAAAATTGTGAAGCTTCAATAAACTGTACCCTACAACTGGCTAAAATTTTATTCCCACACCTACCATACTTTATAAATTCCAGAATAAAATCAGGTTTTGGGCGCCAACAAGGTGCAAGCCTGCCTTAAAATGAGTATATTGAATACAAAAGCTGAAGTTAAAATAAGTAAATTGAATTGGCAAGCATAATGAATTGGCAAGCGGAAGTTAATTTACTCATTAAGGGTGTACTACAAAAATTTTTATATTCAAATTTGAAATTAAAAATTAAATTAAAAAACTATATCGGTAACAACTGTAATCCATATAAAAATTTCATTTCTGAAGCTTAAAACTAGCTTAAATTAGGTTTGAAATTGATGGTGTTTTCTTAAAAATCGAATGAGGGGAACATTATAGTAATAACTAGACACCGGATATTGCAAACAAATATTCGGAGAATATAAACTAAGTAAATAATCAGATCCTTTGAGAAAAAAACAGACTATACAAATGAAATTATTGTTGAAATAGTAACCGCTTCTTTGCACACAGCACCCGATGGACAGCCCCAGCAAACACCACAGCAGATGAACCTGAAAACCAAAACGGCCTTGGCCAACATGTTGAGCAACCGATTGGGAAATAATGGAGCTCAGCAGCAACTAATTCAATTACCCGATGGCCAGCAGCAGCCACAACAACAACAGATTGTCCAACAAGTGGTGGTGACCGGAGCCATTCAGCAGCAGCAACAACAATTGTTGCTGCAACAACAACAACAACAACAGCAGCAGCAACAGATGGTTGTCCAGCAACAACTGCCACCGCAGCAACATGTGGAGCCTCCGTCGGCAGCTGGAGCTCTGAGAATGATGGGCCAGCAACACAGCGCATCCGCCGGCGTGCCTGGACCTCCGCGAACGCAGCAGGAGTTGCTGATGTTGCAGCAACAGCAGCAGCAACAAATGCTGCAGCAGCAGCAAATGCGCAGAGTGGTCGCCGTACCGCAACAACAGCAGGCACCGCAGCAACATCTGGTCCAACAGCAGATCGTGGTCGCTCCGCCACAGTCGCCGCAGCAGCAGCAACAGATGCCAGTAGGTGTGGGTGTGGGCGTGGGAGTGCCAGTGCAGCGGACACCTCACGGATACATTCAGAGCCGTCCTGGACAGCCGCCGATACCGATGCCGCAATTTTATGGCCACAATCCGAACCTAAAACTGCCAGCAGATCTCTTTCTGGTAGGCTGCACGTTCTTTATCGTGGAATATGACGAAACAGACGGCGATGAGCTTCCCATTTGGCTTGATACGATCAGGCAGTTTGGCGGTGATATCGAACGAGTCTACTGTCCTCGGGTGACGCACGTTATCTGCCGTACTCAACGACACGGCGTGGTGATGCAGGCGTTACGGGATGCCAAGCGTTGTGTCACCGCTTACTGGCTAAGTGATATTTGCCTCAAGCGGCAGTTGATGCCTCCCTGGCAGCCGCTTCATCTGCCATTCCCTAGCCAGTTTGGCTACCGCAAGCCATTGGAACGCTACATCATAACCTCTGAGGGATTCGAGGGCGAGGAGGTCGTGAGACTACAGCAGATGGCAGAGGAATGCGGAGCCATCTACACCTCCTATCTGTCCAAGGTGAACACTGTGGTCGTGTGCAAGCAGCTCGAGGGCAACAAGTTCAATGCGGCCAAGGAGTGGAACATCCCGATGGTCAATGCCCTTTGGCTGAGCGACGTCTGCATTGGCAACCTGAGCGGCCTCTCTCAGTACGACAATCCCAAGTACCAGCAGTACAATCTGGTCGCTCCATTCCGCATCGAATGCAACTTGGTGGCGCATCTGCTAAGTAATCAAAAGCTCAACTAATGCCTGGTTCTATTGAATACTAATGTGTATTTTTCCTTTTTAGCCGCTTGGAAGGCACCCATTAATCTTACCCAGGAGGCGCACGAGCGAGTCAAGCGTCATCTGGCCGATCCTTATGGCAACGAGCACAAACTAAAGCGCCAAAAGATGAACTCATTCCAGCAGGAGCAGCTTCCAGAGCAAATTGTCTGCCTTGAATTCCCCACAACCACCAAGCCGCCGAAGGTTATTTTCTCTCAGGTCGCCGATGCTGAGGCATTAAAAAAGGCTGTGGTGTAAGTATAACTAAAATATCAAAAAGTTTGCGCAGACACTACATTTGTAGAAGTTTGAGTACAAAATTATGAAATTTAAATAGCGTACAATTTAAATACTTATCCTTGATTTTGTCTTTATTAGGATTTTGGGTGGAATTGTGGTGGACAGCCCAGCAGATGCCACTCACCTGGTAATGACACGCGAGAGTCGTACCTGCAAACTAATTCAGGCTTGCTGTCATGTGGACTTTGTGCTTAAATCAAGCTGGATAGCGGATAGTGCCAAGGCTGGTAAATTTGTGCCAACCGATCCGTATCGCATCCAGCACATACCGGTGGACGAGAACCTACAGTTTAACCTGAACACTGTTCTCTGCGCACCCACTCGTTCCACACTGTTTGCTGGAAAATACTTTCATGTGACGCCGGACGTGTTCCCAGCCCGAGAGGAAATTATCCGAATGATTGAATCGTCTGGCGGTAAAGTGGAGCCAAAACGAAGGACCGGTGGCGCTGTAGCGGAAACACACATTCAGGCACCAGACTCCTACATCATTGTGACCTGTCCCACGGACATGCATCTTTGCGCAGATCTCACGCGGCACGGAAACCCAAAATGCCACATTGTGTCCACTGAATTCGTCATGAGCTCAATACTCAGGCAGCAGCTGGAGATTGAGCCCAACCTGATACCCTATTTGTACAACAACAACAATGTTAACAGCTGCAACAGTAACAAGTCCTAGCGCCGTGTGTTCTGGTTACTGTAGAGCCAAGATAAGATCTTAAAATCACTGTATATTCACAAAAGAATTTATGCGAGCTGTTATATAAATATGTAAGAGAGCATGGCAGATAGACAATTGAGCCACTTTAAAGTGTCATTGGCCGACTTATGCAATTATTTTTAGCCTGCCATTTTCTTATGATATACCAACACAAAACTAGTCCACAGAATTCGTAAATTTCGATGGGCTTGCAAGAATGGTAGAGTTTATATGGTCTTGGGCACATCGGCAAATCGGTCATAGTAATAAGTAATGTATCCTTCTAATTTTAAATAATCAATTTATGTCAGATTTTAGCCTCTGAGCTAACTCATTTAATTGTATATATTTCTAATATTAGAGAATAATCTTACCGTTTTGAGTCTGCCAATAATACACAAATAGATTCTATATTTAAATAAGTGGTTCATATATAAAACATCATAACTGATGATTATTTTTGTGGGCTATTATAAATTTTTGGCATATAAAATTTTATACATAAAACAATGATTGACCGAACTGGTATGTATAAAAATTGATGATGTAGCATGTAATAAAAAAATACCTTAATTAGTGTTAGGATAAAAGATTCATACAATCATTTTATATATATTTTTGTAGGTTCAGGAACCATTACCTTTAGAAAGTCACAAAAATGTACACATACATATATATCCTAGAGTATACGAAATGTTTCACAGAAATTGATATTGTCGGCTATTAGAATTTTAGGTACTTTTCACATAGGTAAAGCCAATATTTTCCGAATACATATTAGAGTTAGTTAGGCATTGTACGAAGTGTATGAAATAAAATAATATAACTCAAAAATATAAAATCGTTAATGAATGTGTTATTTAATACGAAGGTTGCTTTAAATGCTTTTTTTTTCTAAGAATCTTTTTTTTCAGGCGGTTTGGGTGAAAAATCGGTACTCACCATTTTTGGCAAAAATACAATTTTCGTTGTTTAACGAACTGCACAAAACATTCATTCTTTTGACCGTGTGTCGTATTTTGTCAAAGTTATAAAAAAAAACCCTATACAAATATTTTATTGCCACAAACCCGAAAAAAAACATCTGGCTTTTTTATCATAACCCTCGAAAAAAATGATCATGTGTTGAAATATCATACCTTGTTAAATTCGGTTTAAAATTTCCAATCATGTGGCATTCACAGCTTAAAATAAAAAAATAAATAATAATAATAATAAGATCCGGAAAAATCAACTAATTCAGTTTTTTGATCAAAGTCCTGGGAAATAATGATCTGCTTTTGGAATAATATACCTCTTTGAATTCGTCATAAAATTTTCAATCGAGTGGCATTCACAGCTACAAAATTTTCATTTGAGTCGATTTTCATAAACTTTTCATCAAATCAACTTTCATTTTCGGTTGCCAATATATTGGCATTCGCAACAACAAATTTTTATTTTAGACCAATAAGCAATCATTATCGATCAAAAAAATTACAAAACAAAAAAGGAAAGCTAAAGTTGATATACCCTTGCAGAATATTCTGTAAATTATATTCTCCAAAATTATTTATATGATGCATTCTTAATACTCATAAAAAATCCCAACTTCCTAACGTTAAAAACACCAAAGTAATGGCATTTTCATTCGTTCAGTTATATGGCAGCTATAGGATAGCGGCCGATTATTATGAAACTTGGAAGGTCGGATTGATTGGCCAAAAATAAAATCCATAAAAAATCCAAACTTCCTAACTTTAAAAATATCAAAGTTATGGCCTTTCCGATCGTTCAGTTATATGGCAGCTATAGGATATAGTCGGCCGATCCGGCTCGTTCCGACTTATAGAAAGACAACTTTTGAGAAAGTTTCAGGCAGATATACCCTCTGCAAGGGTATAAAAAGCAGATAATTAAACAAATTAGATGCAAATCAAATAGCATTCACAGCTATAAAATTACATTTGAATAAATATGAATCCGGAAGACCCGGAATAATCAACTGTTTTTTGGGAAAAAATTTAAAGTATGTAAACCCTTATAAAAAATGATGAAATCCGGAAAAAATCAGCTTTTTTTCTGTTTTTTGATCAAAACCCTGGGAAATAATGGTCAACTGTTGGAATGTCATACCTCGTTGAATTCGTTATAAAATTTCCAATATATTCGTATTTACAGCTCTAAAATTTTATTTTAGTAGATTTTTCGCAAAAAATAATGAAGTAACCTTGAATTTCAAAATTAGTAAGATTCAGAAAAATAAATAATGTATATAAATAAATGCAAAAATCGGTCAAAAATAAATTATTTCAACCAATCTGGAATCGATAGTTTAAGTCCTTAGCTGCAGAAAGCTAAGTTAAATCAAAAAAGCCTTGTCTATTTTGTAAAGCCAAACCCGGATAACATCAATTGTACGGCTGACATCTTAAATTTAAAAGACGTAATTAAAAATCATGGGTTTATTTTCATTTTGTTTTCGTTTTATTTTTGTTTTTCTGTTTTTTGTTTATCGTTAAAGAATCTTACGAATTCATTTGTAATGTATTTTACAGACGAAGCTTGTTTGCCCACTTCTTTAGGCATGCTTGTGTTTGTGTTTAGTAAACAATTAACGTATTTAATTTACATCAGTTAAACCAAGGTACCTTATGGCTAAACCACTATGCTTAGACTTACAATTCAAATTCGGACTTACAAAGAATTTAGGTGTAGAGTAAAAATTATTACGAGTAGGTATTTTCCTTTCAAATAAATTATAAATAATTTCGTTTGCTTTTAATGCTAGAACTATCAAAAACCGTATTACGAAAACTATGCACTCTTCATCAATATATTTAATTTTTATGATACTATAAATAGGTTTAATATAGGTCTTGTTTGTATTGTACAGCGCTAAAAAAAATTAACAACGTACGTTTCATAAAATCGGCTTAGTAGACTTCAGTTAAATATTTTACACTTATTCGATTACATAATTAATGTGGCATATGCATATTTACAGAAATAAAAACTAAATATACTCAAAAAGCGCTTTGCCAAAGACCACCTGCATGATTTGGTTATAGGTTAATATAAGAAATAAAATTGCGTATGTACAAATTTAAATGTATTTTGTAAACACCTTTACAACTTATAAGTAGTTTTGTGTCAGCTTATTATCAGTAACAAATTCTATCTGAATTGATTACGTTAAATAATTTTCTCACAGGGTCAAATTAATTTTTTTTTTAGATTTATTTGATTTAAAACCTTCCAATTTTGTAATGTGTGCATGGCTTGGAAGTAAACAAGTTTGATTTTTTACATTGATAATAGAAAAATGCTGCAACAAAGAATGTATCTAAATCGGTTACGAAAGTCAAATCTTATAAATTTAACCTGGATAAACAACAGAGCAAATAAAGTTTTTTGACACATTCCTCGGTGAGCGTTGATCAGAATAAAATTGTTCTAAACCTATTGACAAGCTAAACAAATTATATTTAAATTTGCAATGAAGTATTTTACTAAATTATTTGTGAATTTTTTACTTTAGGAAAAATTTGGGAGATAAAAAAAATGTACGCCTAATTACGAAAATGGCTTCGTAAACTTGCTGTTGTTGACTTTATTTACATTTTTTGTAACGTTCGATTAGCTTAATTTCATTCAATTAACCATCGCTTTGTACTCTGTTTTAACTAACATTACTTGCCTAATACGATAACAAGTATTTTTCTGTTTTCTCCGTTTGGTTGCTTTTGGATATTTAAAAATATTATTTACAATGATTTTAGTCCCGGATTCTGCCTTCTTGGTCTTGATAGCGATTTTATTGTATACTATTCGCCAAGATTTCATTCTAGGTATTGGATTTTTAATATTGCTTGCATTTTTAAGTCTGGCTATTCTGTTTTTTTCTGGGTTAATATTGTAGTTTACTGGTTTTAATTGTTGTTCTTCTTTTATTACTACGATTACAAGTTATTCAAAATTTAAACGAAAGTTACACAAATTAAATTATATAGGGATGGATACTCCCCGCAACTACTTTAGGCTCTTCTGCAATTGTTAAAACGAAACTGTTCTCTAGGATTGCATGAACTTAAGAATTAAAAATACATATTCAATTACTAAACGAGCCAAGAGTGGTTTCTAACATCTTTATAACTTCAATTTTGGCTGCCTAATCGGTACTCTATGTGCTATGTAAGTTTTGTTTATATCTCGCTACATAGGCTCTATTTATAGGTGTTTAGCATATACATGTGCATATATTGTAGTTGTAGTTTTCTTGTTTGTAAGTAATTTAAGCGGCTTGTTTGCTATGACAAAAACGATACTATTAAATAACTAAGTAGTTTAGTAGAACGTTTATCTTTCTTTCAAGATGTCCCAATTTTTTTGCTATGCAAAATTATTTCTGTTTTGTAATGTACATTGATTGCATCGTCTTTTCTTGTCGTATTTTGATCTCAATCGACAAAACATACAGGTATGCAGCTCATACTATATGCGCGTTGTAATTTTCTTTATAATTTATCGTTTAAAATAAAATAACGGGTTGGTTTTGTTGTTTGGTATAAGGAAAGCGCGAGAATCTAATATAGAAAATTGGAATCAATCTGCAGTTTTGTGGGCTTCGTTGATGTTGTATTGAATTTAAAAACTGGTTTAGTTTTCTGTTCATCCGTTTGTTGTGTGGCTTACTGTTAATAGAAACGAGTTTATAAATGCCTTTACCGTTTACTATTCACCATTGTAATTACCATTTTATAAGCCATCCCGCCTGGCTGCCGCCGTGGTCACTTTCTCTAAAGCACTAGCAGCTGCGCCTGTGCCCAATCGCTCGATAACCCGAGAGTCACAGGAAATGGTCCGCTGCAAGCACCGCGATCTCTCGCTCATCTTCTCCTGCTGCTGCTCGAGTAGTGTGGGGGCAGCATTAAAGTGGCCTCCTGCGGAAGAAAGAGTACGTTTAGAAGTAGTCGTTAACGGGAGCAATGATTTCTTACCCTTTGGCTTGTCATCAAACATGTGCAGCTTCTGAGCCGTGCTCAGGATGCTGTTCACCGTGCTTAAGGTGGTGGCCGCCGGATCAATAATCGCATTCTTGATGGGCATCCTACCACCAACAACACCCAACGCCTGTTGCAGATGATTACCGCTGCTGCTCCCGCTCTTGGTGGAGCTGCTGCTCTTATTGTTGTTCATATGGAGGTTAACGTTTTGCTGGGGATGGTGGTGAGCGCTAATCGAGTTACGCCGCTCCCGAATCGCAGCCTGGAAGCGTTCCGGCGACTGTAGTGAGCACTTGTTAATGGTGTGCGGCTTGGCGAAGCCACGATCTTTACTAGTTCCCGTTGGTGTTGTGGGGGTGGTTGGAGTGGTGGGTGTGGTGGGCGTGGTCGGAGCAGTGTCTACCGAAGGACGATGGCGCATCCGATACTCGCTGATGGAGAGCTTTCGTTTCGGCATAGGCATAGGATCCGGGACCGTGAGCATGGGATTCAGCCGCGGATCATGGCTGGCGGTTCGCGTATACAGCTTTAATGGAGTAGTGGCAGGAGGGGGCATTTCAACCGATGCAGCGGCAGCTGTGGCCGCAACTGTGGTGCCACTAATTGGCGTGACAGCTGCAACACTGGCGGGTTTCGCTACTACCAGCGATACTGCTGTTTTGGAGGATTTTGTAGACTCCAAATATTCGGCCAGACTAGGCATAGTGTTGATGGTGGGACTGGGGCTGCTGCTTGGTGTCGGCGGATCCTGCAATTTGCCGTAGATGGTATTGTAGAAGGGCAGCGGCGCCACCTTGGCCGAGCAATTGTTGACTATCGGTTGAGATGGATGGATCGCTGTCGGCGTGGGCTGGGTTATCAATACTGGGATGGGAGCAGCCTTGGGAGAGGGAACTGCCACTGGAGTGACTGTCGGAATCGGTGTCAGACTGGGAGTGACAGGCGCCGAAAGTGCCGCTTTCTGTATGTGGGTTGTCTTTTGCTTGCTGTCCTTGTCCTTTTCTCTTTCCTTCTCCTTGCCCTTTTGCTTATCGTGCTTTTGCTTCTCGCGATCCTTTTTCTTGCTCTTTTTTTTCTCCTTCTTTTCCTTCTTCAAAGCGGCCGCAATGAGCGCTTGCTGCCGACTGCCACACATTGACTCCCGCCGACGGCTGATAGCAGTCAGTTTTCCGCTAGCAATAGCAGCCGCCAGACTCATGGATCCTCCACTCGCCGGAGTCGCGATGTCCTGGTGATTGTTCTCCTTGCGGTGCTGCTGCTGTTGAATAGCCGTGGGGATGCCAACCACTGAGGGCGTGGTCAGCGGCAAACCCAGGCCTTTGCTGCTGTTTAGAAGGATGCTGCTGCTCAGGATCTGACTGTTCGGCTTAGTCAGCTCCTGCTCGAAATTGGTCTGGCGCTTCTTAGTTGCAGGCGGTGTGCCCAGCTGGGGCGCGGCCATAGGCACCGGAGTAGCCGTGACTGGTGTGATGCACATGGACATGGTGCGACGCCTCATCTGCTGCTGTTGCTGTTGTTGTTGCTGATGCTGATCCACATTATTGTGCGCCATGTGCTTAGTCTTACCATTTGCCGTAGCAGCTGGCACACTAGGAGGCACTAGAATCGGCGCTGGCAAGGATTTGCAGTCTGGCTTCGTCGGCAACGATGTCTTTTTCTTCGTTTCAACGACTTGCGGTGTTAGATTCGCAACCGCCTTTTGCTTGTCCTTATCCTTAGACTTCTTTTTGTCCTTTTTGGACTTTTTCAGCTGTTTCTCCTTATCCCGCTTTTCATCCTTATCCTTCGATGATTTTTTCGACTCTGCGCCGCTCCCACCACTGCTACTATTGCTCTTCTGACTCGAAAGAGCGGATGTCGAGACTGCAGAAGCCTTCTTGTTTCTAGACTGCAAGTAGGAAATATTGGCTGCATGGAACGACAGCAATCGTTCCTGTATATCGTGCTCGGTGAGATTTTTGGTACTCGGAGGAACAGTTGTTATTGCCGACGCAGTCATGGTTGTTGTCGCCGCTGTAGCTGTAGCTGCGGTTGGTAGGGGTAGTCCCGCCACTGGGGGCGCTGCAACTGTAGTTATTGGTGGTACTGCCTCTAGTTTGGGCTTCTTCTTCTGCGGCTCATCCTCCAGTTTAAGAGATTGTGGTCGAGCCTTGACTACCACTTTGCCCACATCGAGCAGAGTTGCTGCCGCGGTTGTTACTGCGGCCGCTGCAGCTGTAATAGCTGTCGCGCGGAGCAGCGATTCGCCCGGCTTTGGTTCCACCTTCACCGGCTCCACTTTATGCGCCATTAGCTCAGGAGTTGCCTCCACTTTGGCAGCCGCTTTAACAACGGAATTTTCCAATTTTGGTTCCACTGCGGGGGGTTCAACTTTAGGCTGCTGATGCGGTTGAGCCTCCTGACGATATAGCTGATTTTGCTGCTCACGTTGCTCCTCCTCTTCGCGCTTCACCTTTACCATTTCCTCGAATTTGTCGCATGCCTGGCTCTCCTCGCGTTCCACATCGATCTTAACGTCATCGGCCGCCGCACTCGTGTCCTCAGGTTCGATCTTAACCAGGTTATCCTCGGCCACTATTTGATGAGTGCCCGGGCTGGGCGAACGCAGAATGTCCACATCATCCTCCTGCTCCTGCTGGTGGTGTTCTGTTTCGACCTTTAGTCCAGGCATTGCGACATTGTCTTCTGCTTCCTCCTTGGGTTCCCCGATAACATCGATGTGCGGCTCTTCGGCTTCCACATTCGAGCCGTTGCTAATCACCACCAGGCGGCGCTTCTTTAGCGGCGTACTGAATCCATTCGCCAGTGGTGAGACCGTGGGCACCGGCTGGGGAGAGGGCGTGGCAGCTGCAGAATGGTTTGGCTGCTGCTGCAGTTCGTCAACCGGAGTGGTCTCCTCGCTAATGGCCTGCCGCAGCCAGCGCTTCTTTACTGAGGAATTGTTTTGCAGTGGCAGATGCAGTTGTTCTCGGGTAGTGACTGCCGTTGTAGACTCCGCCTGATGAATGAACTGTTCCACCTTAAGTAGAGCTGGAGCTGGCGAGGATTGGCCTTGGGGCTGGTGGTGCAGCTGCTCGCGTTCGCCGTTGATCTCGCTCATGGCTGCCTGCACGAGGCTGTCCAAACCGGAGGCGTGTTGCTGCTCGCACTGTTCCGCCTGCTGGAACCAGTTGGACATAAGCGTCTTCTTGGTCTTGGCCCCGCCGGGAGGAAACTTAAATTCGCCAAGTGATGGTGACGCTGTGGCTGGTTGATGTTCCAAAGGTCCCATTGCAGCCTCGATCAGCAGACAAGCGCTGCTCACGGAGGCCGGAGTTGCGGGTAAAGAATGCGATTGCGATGAAGGCGATTTGAATGATTCATTGGGAGAGGAGTTGTTGTGGGCCAATGCGAGGAGAAGACCTGCCGCCTGATCCTCTGATCCACTGTGATGCGTTTGTGGATGCTGCACTTGATCCTCCGATTCTGAGTTAGTCAATGCATGCGATTCACCATCGGATTCAACCAGAATGCTCTTCCTCCGTTTGTTATTGCTGCCGCCAGAGGCCATGCCATTGGTATTGTTGTAGCTGCGGCTCACTTTACGCTTCTTCTTATTCCGACGCTGGGCAACAGCCGCCGAGGAGGCGGAACTAGTTGGCGTGTCCACATCCTCGCTGATGGAAATGGAGCTACCACGCTTGTTGGGCGAGGCGGGTGAGTTGCTCGCCTGCCTCTTGCCACCGCTGCTTTGACGCGTCTCCTTCTTACCGCGTGCTTCCTGCTTCTCCATTTTCTCAATCGCTCGCAAGATGGCTTCCAACTTGCGATCCTCTCGCGACTGCTTTGGTTTATCCTTGGCCGGCGTTCTCGTGGTTGGTGTCGTAGTGGCACTGGACGACACATCATCCTCTCTCGACTCGGCTGGCGAAGGAGTTGCTGCTGGAATTGAAGCGGCGGAGACTGGAGTCAATGGCTGCTGCTGTTGGTGCTGCTTGGCCGGTGTTTTCTTTCCGCCAATCACTGATGCCTGAGCACCGATAGTTATACTGTTGTTGTTAATGTTGTTGTTAATCACAGGCGCCACACTCTTTGTTGGTGAACTTAATTTCGTGGGCGTGGTCACCGGGATTGCCTGGGCTCCGCTTGAAAAGATTATTTGCGGCTGGTGTTGTACGGACTGAGGTTTTTGCTGCCGTTGTGGCGACTGAGGGTAGTTCAGATGCGGCGAATGTTGTTGTAGCTGATGCGGTTGTTGTTGTGGAACTGTTTGCTGTTGATGCAGTTGTTGCTGGTTAGTATGTTGGTGGTGAGGTTGCGGTTGTTGCTGCGGTACTGTTGACACTTTGATGGGCGTCATAACATGCGATGTGGGGGTAGCATGCAGAGTTTGCAAAGCACTCACTGCCATTCTAGCCTCATCCCCCATTTGCTGATGCTGCTGCTGTTGTTTCTGTTGCTGGTGCAGGAAGTTTTGCTGTTGTTGTGGAGCGACCACATGTTGCTGTTGTGTCACTACTGCATGTGGCTGTGGCGATTGTTGTTGCTGGGGTTGCCGCACAAAATACGTGGCCATGGGTGTTTGGGCAGCCGCAGCTGCTGCAATTACAGCCAACGGCTCCTGACTTTGTTGCGGTTGTTGCTGCTGCAGCAAAGAAGATTGCTGCGGCATGGGCAACAAAACATGTGACTGCTGATGCGGCGGGGGCTGCGCCGTTTTGGGCAACTGAGGTGAAAGCATCGGCGTGAGCATAGGCGTGGGCAACGCAGCAAGAATCTGTTGCTGATGCTGTTGTGTCGGACTTCGTTGTAACAGCGACAATTGTTGCTGTGGCATCTGGTGCGTGTGAGACTGTAAAGTCGGCGACTGTAATTGGGTGGGTGTGGGCGAGGGAATGGACACCGATGGCGACGAGGAGGACGTGCAGATGCCGGAGTCATGGAGCACACTGGACATGGACACCGAACAGGAGTTGTTGCTGCTACTGCTGCTACTCCCACCGCTGTTGTTGCAGTGTACTCCGGGAACAGGCGCCGTCAGCGATGCTGCCGTTGGGGAAGGCTTGAAGCCAAGGTTCAACTGTCCCAGCTGCGGACTATTCAGACCCATCTGACTGCTCTCGCCGCTGGAGGAGGTTGAGCGATTCCTGGAACTCGGCAAACCACCCGCTCCAGCCGCCACCGCCGCTCCCACGCCCAATCCCATGGTTAGCTGTATGGCTGCCGCACTGTTGGCCGCCGCTGCCGCAGCCGCTGCTGCCGCCGCCTTGTTCCGATGGCTGCTCCTGGGCTGGGCCGGGGGAGCCTGAAGCTGCTGCTGCACCGCCAGCGGAAGAGCAAAGAGGCAGTCACTGCCCATGTCGCAAGCGCATCGCGTACTCGTGGGCTGAATGACGGCAGCGTGCGACTTCTTCTGCTCCACCGCTGCCAAGTCATGGGGTTCGTGCCGCACTGTAATCTCCGTCTGAGCCCGTATGTGCGTCAGCGCTACTATATACAAGTGCAGCGTTCCCTTCTCGAAGTAGTGCTGCAACTCAGCATTCGGACGGCAAGAGCGACGCACGAACCGCGCATCATTGCCATACGTCCGCGTATCTACGCACACTTCTGGACCTTTGAGATAAGAAGGCGGTTGCTGCGTCACTTGCGGCACACTTCCGTCCGGCCGCAGAGTCTGCATGGGCGCCTCCACGCCGGGCAGCTGGTAGAAGAACACAAACTGACCCGGCGTCTTGTGCGCCTTGAAGCTATTCAGGTAGTTGCTGGGCGGCGGCGTGTTCATGTTGACGGTGGGATTCTGGGTGCGGAACTGGGTGGTCAGCATGTACTTGCCGCGTAACTCGTGGATGGGGGCATGTGGGGCCAATTCCATGCTGCTGATCAGAACCTTGGCGCCCGCATACGGAATGAGCTGAGCGCGTTGCTCAAGCTGCTCACTGCTGCCGGCAATCGACAGTTGCTGCTGGATCTGCCGCAAGGCCTTGTTCTCCGTGTTTTGTATGCTCTGTAGCAAGCTGGGCTGCTTCTGAATGGCATGAAGGCGAGCGCGAAGCTCCGGAGAATAGTGGTTGGTCACGGCATACTCGTAGTTCTCGATCCACTGGCGTAGGTTGGCGGCGTGCTTTTCGGCAGCCGTCAAAGCGGGACTGCTGCCCCCGCCACATGATCCATCTCCGCTAGACTTGCTCTTGCGTTTGCTGCTCTTCTTACTCGATTTGCCGCCACTGCCGGAGGGGGTACCACTTCCGCTGCCACTCTTCTCGCCACCCATTCCCACACCGCTCTTCTTGGTTTTCTTCAAGGCGGAACTACTGACCGCGCTCTCTTTGGTTTTTTTCGACTTCTTGGACATACCGGTTCCCGTGGCGAATCCGCCATTCAGGCCCGATGCCAGCCTGTGCTGCAGCTCCTCAGACATAACCAACCCACCACCAAGTCCAACGCTGAGCGTTGTTCCTGCCGCCACGGCGGCAGCTCCATTTGCCGCTTGGGTGGCCACCAGCATCATGTGTTCCTTTCGCTTTTGTCGCTGCAGTGCTCGAGCTCTCGCCTTGTCCACCGCACGTGGCTGACATAGCTCGCACATGTACTCCTCCGGGATGTTTTGGCGGTCGATCCCCATGCAGTCCACGTGTTGCCAGGCACTATAAGAAAGTTAAATTAGTGGTTAGCTTTGGATTGCTTTAAAATAATCAAAAAAGGAAAAAGTCTTTGAAGCAACAATTTTAATTCAGTTTTTAACTCCCAGGATACTTACGAGCACTTGTCGCAGCAAATCATATACCCATCGTCGTGGGTAAGTTCGCAAATGCAGCGCGTAACAGAATCGTCTTCAGCCTCAGCTTCGGGTGCCGTTTCCGTCTCCTCGCCAGGATCAATATCGGTACTGGCCAGTCCCAAACGGGAGCTGCTACTGATAGCAGAGTGGGCATCATCATCTGTCACATGACGAGATACTAAATATATAAAATAAAAACATTATTTAGTTAGTATAAATAATAAATTGGTGTGGATTAGAATAAATTAGGTGTGTCTCTTTTAAAATTAACTTATATTACAAAACATTTAATTTATTATATCAGTTCGTCCCTAAACAACAAATTTTGAATCATCTTTTTTTTATAAAAAAAAAAGGGTCGTTTTAAAATATTTTTAATTTTCTGCTGTTTTTTCCTCTATACTTACTTTGCTGGCCATAGAAGCTGCCATATCCGCCTGCAGCTGTGGGCGTGACCTGACCACCGGCTACAGTGACACCGATTCCGCCCAGCGACCACTGCTGCGGCTGCTGAACTTGCAGTGCTGCTCCTGGGATCGTGGTGTCTCCTGTTGCCTGCTGGGACTGTTGCTGCTGTTGCTGGGAGGCATACGTGTGGTCCTGCATGATGGCGTGCAGCTGTTGCAGGCGTAGATCCTGCGTAAGCACCGGCACTGGACGTACCTCCTCTATATACAGCTCCTCATCGTTGGCATTTAGATGGTTGGGTCCCAACGAATGGGACTGTTGTTGTTGTGGCTGCGCTGTAGCATGGGTCGCGACCTTAACCAGTGCTGGCGACGACGGTGGTGCGGCATCCACGTGGACTGGAACGTTCAGCGGCGTCAGGTGAAGAGGCGTTGCTGGCGTTGGAGTGGTCGTGGCGAATCCGCTGCCACTACTGCTCCGCAGCGCTCCGAGATTACTCATGCTGTGGCTTTGGGCCAGGCTATTGCTGCTTCCGATGATGCTGTTCACGCTGCAATTCAGGGATTGTTATTAGATTGAGCGGTTCGAGCTTTCTTGGAAATGTCACATTTTATGCTTTGCCATTGACGAAGCTAATTCTTCTAATGCAATACAACTGAGCAGCTGGCCGACAGACGTAAATACGAATTTTGACACTAGTGAAAGCAAATTATCGATGCTTTTGTGAAACATTGTCAATTTTTCATCCCTAAACATCGATACATTTGACAGACAAATCGATTCTAAACGGTTAACATTTAAAAGCTTAGATGTCAATGCAAATATTTAAACTCGAAAGTCATTTATGTCAGTTAAATAGAAAAGGCTTTACAGCGACTATTATTTTTAAAATAATCTTAGTTAGATATTTAATTACATTGCCATGCGAAGGAGTGCTTACCCGTGCTTGTTGTAATACTCGATGACCGTAGGGGCCTTCCGCCCGCCACTCAGCACCTCGTGCTGCAACTGCTGATTCTGCTGAAGCTGTTTCCTTTCCAGGGACACAGCCCTACTGCTGGGAGCGCTAACTGACTGCCGACGCGCCGCCGTTGCTGACGACATATAGGAGGAGATGGCCGCGCTACCGCTGGCAAAGCCATGCGAAGAGATGCTCACTGACGGCGTGGTGGCCACCGTAACCGGTGGCGTTCCCGTAACCGTAAGGAAGGAATTCGACGAGACCGGCTTTGAACCGGCTGCCTGGTAGTGAGCAAGCAGAAGATTTCCAGGAGGATTTCCACCAGGACTACTAGCAGCTGCGCCATTACTACTGCTGCTGTTGCTGTAAATGATCTGTGTGGGAGGCGGCATATTGCTGCTGCCCGTAGCTGGAACCTGTTGAAATCGCTGCTGTTGTTGGCTAAACGACTTTTGGGCCATGCTCTGCAGAATTCGAGCAGACAACTCGTCGGTCATCTGAGTGCCGTTAACGATCATCACGTCATCGGTGATCAGTGAAGAGTTGGCTACCGAATGTTGCTCATTGTCGCTGCTACTACTGCTGTTGTAGTGGGTTCGCTTTGTCGCCTGTTGCTGCTGCTGTTGGGGATGCTGCTGGATGACGGTCCCATGTGAGTTGACAAACTTGATGGTCCCTCCGCCAGCAGCCTGAGTCTGCTGCAGTAGGTATCCTGCTCCGGCAACATTTGGTGACGTCTTGTGCTGCAGTTGCGTTCCTTGCGGCAGGCTGATCTGCTGTTGCACGTACTTGCTTGTAAGTTTGGTGACCTTAGCGGGAGTTGGCGTGGTCACCATTGGCTGTTTGCTATAGGTTCCCGTCTGCTGCTGTTGTTGAGGCAAAGCGGCAATGGACAGGGCAGTCGTCTGTTTCACAAACTTTGCCTTTGCGCCCGCCTTGTAGGTTTGCTGCTGTTGCTGCTGCGTGATGAAGGTTTTCAGTTGCTGGGCTTGTAGTTGTTGTTGTTGCTGCTGTTGTTGTTGTTGCTGCTGCTGCGACATGTTGGCCACGCTCTTTACTGTGATCTTTTGATTGGCCTTCTTTAACAGGGCTGCATTACCAGCCAATGCTGTTGCCGTGGCGTTCACAAACTTGGGCTGTGCCGGCTGCACCATTATCTGCGACGGAGAAGCCGAGACATACGACTGCAGGCGGGTAGCCACTCGGGATCCCAAAGTCACCTTCTGCAGCGTGGCATGCGGATGATGTTGCTGCTGCTGTTTAAAAGCGCCGATGCTTCCGAATTTCTGGGGCTGCTGTTGCGGCTTAGCCGGCGAGGCCGTCACATACGGCAGACTCTTGGCACCCAAATAATTAATCTGCTGCTGCTGGGCGGTTCCTCCTTGGACAGGCGCCTGCTTGGAGAGTACCGTGAGATTGCTGAGCAGGAGTTTAGAGTTGTGAGGCGGCGCCGCAGCCGAGGCGTCTATGATGACGTTACTAGTGCTACCGTCAGTGGTCACAATCTTGTAGATCTGGGGATTAATCAGCTCCTGGCCGGAACTAGCCGAAGTGGCTGATGTTGCAGACAGTGCTCCGGTTCCGGCTGCTGTACGCACCGCATACTTCTGCGTTGGATTCATCGACTGGGACTGACTGGCGCTGAGAATCTGGCGTGTACTGATCGACATACGGCGCTGCATGATCCGCAGTTGTGCCTGCGTAGGCAGACTGCTGCCATCGATGACAATGTGTGGAGGCGGCGGCTGGGGGCCACCGGCTACTCCGACGCGATTGATGCTGCTCGTGCTGGCGCCGCCACTGCCGCTAACGGCGGGCTCCACGAAGACCGTGTCGTGGCTGGACATGGGCATGGTGGTGCTGGTGCTGCAGATCGGACTGCGAACTAAAATTAAACGTGTGTTTAGAGGAAGGGAGCCTAATTCGGCTTGAGAGTTCACTCTCTTGGTAGAGTTCGGTTTCAGTAACGGTTTCAGTTTCTATTTCACAACACTACTTCACAGGCAAAGTCGTCATGTTGCTGCCGGTTCTGCTGCTGCAGTTTCTGCTCCTGCTGACGCTGGCCCTTCGTTGACGTGCCCCCAAAACATTGGGGGCTCAATGCATAACCTCTGGCTCTGGCACGGAGGACGGAGGGTGAGACTCCCTGTGGTAACAATTGTAGGCGTAGGCGGTGGTGCGCGCTCGATTTGCATAGACGATGTCCAACTCTGTGCCACATCACATTGTCAGCCATCACAATCATAACGCTGCGAGAGATTCGACGACTTCCTCTGCGTGCTTCCTGGCTCCTTCGCTACTGCTTCCTCTGCTTCGCACCCTGTATGTAGACCCTTATCCTGTACCTGATATGGTCTTCTGAAGATGATAATCCCGCTCAATAGATTTTGCGTTGTTGTCCGTCGTTGTACGTTGCAACTTGTATTTTTTGGGTATGATATTCATATAAACGATCTTTCGTTGTTTCTGGAACGAGCCAAAAAAAAGGATTACATTAACAATGTGATAAATATAAAATTTTGTTTTTAATTTACTGTAAATTTAAAATATAATTTAGACCATGTTTAAAAAAAATGTTTAAAAGTGCAAAAAACAAATGTATTTTTTTGGTATTGTTTTTTAAATTGGAAGTTAAAAAATAGTTTAGTAAAATGAGAGAGAAATACCCCTAATCCGAAATTCTCGACCTGTCATTATCGATAAAATCAAGGGAGGCACTCATCTCTATCGTACAGGAGTGGCATTGCCAACTGCAATTTCAATTCGCGTTATGTAATAAAATAAAAAGCACAGCGATGCCAACGGGCGCCAAAAATACGCATGCGCACTTCTAACATCAATATCTGCGCTTATTCTGCGTATGTATTTTCGTCTACGCTTTCGAAATTTGCTTCGTGGTGGCTGCTGCACTTGCTGTAAACTTGAACGCAGCATCAGGCAGCGGAAAATTTACGAAACAGCAAAGCAAAAACCGTGCGAAAGGTGCGCCAAAGCAAAGAAAAGCAAGCAAGGGATTGTGCATTGTTTACACTTGTGTGAGTGTGCCAGTCCAACTCTGTTTGTGTGTTACCCCCCTGGCCAATAAGAAACAGCAACAACGTTTAGCACTTGTGCATTTGGCTTTTATGGAAACCAGTTTTTTTCTATTTTTCTTTGTTTAAGCGCATCGCTAAATGCTAATGTAATTTTCAATCGATTTGACTTAACTTGATCTTGTTTGTTTTTTTATATATATATATAAAAAAAAATATTTTTATCAAAAATAAATAAAACCTTTGAAAAATTTTGTCAAATTATCTGTACGGTTATAGAAATGCAATTATATATTGACCATTTATATTTAAATTAAATTGGAACTGGAACTGAGAGACGCATAATGTCTCATATAAGATTTATAAAAAAAAAGAAAAAGAATCAATTAAATGTTTAGAAAATACAGTGAAAATACCGGGTATTGATTAATTCCCTATGAACCCTACAAAATGGATGCATTTACCTTTTTAATAATTTTGGTTTGTTCTCTAAACTTTTAATTTTAAAGCAATATCACCTCCAAAACAAGACATTCATCCTTTAGTCTTCCCTCAAGATTTCAATATTTTGTCATGTTTTGCTAACAGTTTCTAATTCTCTAATTTATTGCACATTTTGCGTGTTTGTCTCGTCGTTCGCATTGCAAAGCAGAGAGCCAAAGCAAAGCGGAGCGAAAAGTGAATGCACTAATTTTGCCTTGGCATCCGGCGCGGCATTCATCGCTAGTTGTTGTTGGGGTTTTTTGTCGTTGCTTTTGTCGCTGATATTTCAGTTTCTTGTATCTATTACACATTACACAGGCAGGCAACTTGCACTTGGATGTATCCCACCTGAGTGTGTGTGAGTGATAGCGATTGTGCTCTTTGCCAATTTGCGCCTATTGTAGATACAATTCCTAATTGAAATAGAGAATAGGGATGAGTGCAATTGGTTCCCCAATTGAATAGTGAATCTGGGAAAAGCTTATGTAACCTTTTGTTTATTTTAAAGGCCGTTAAAGCTAATCGATAAACTGATTTTACAGCTTCAAACGGAGTTATATAATTAAGGAAGTTTCATGTTTCACTTAAGATTTCTCAATAGGAAGTGAAGAGAGGTCAGATAACGGTGCGAATGGACTGCAGTAAATTTTGATTTGGGTTACACACACACCCATTGGCATTGGTACTTTATCTGAACATTTACAACGAATCTTACAACGCTGCTAGTTAAAAATACTCATGCGAAAGAGGGACCGAGGAGAATTTTATTCTCTCATCCTCGAAAAGAAGGTGAAATACACACTCACAAACACACGTGTGCAAGAGCCCTACCCCAACCCCAACAAAAACAACAACAAAAGCAGCAAGTAAAATGCGCGCCATAAACAAATTACACACAAGCTCACAAAAAAAAGCCCCATTGGGTCCCATTATCGGGTCGTGGGTGTGAGCAAGACAGCAGCAGATCTACGTAAATCGTGGCTGAAAATGCACGTTGGAAACTTATCGCACACATACATCAAAATATTCATACAGATGCGGATTCAAGGGGGTAACCTACGGATAGTTACATTCACTGTGACACACTCAATATTAAGTTTAGTTATTCAAAAAGATATCATAATTTAAAAAATCTCCCCCCAAAATTAGCTTTGCATCCGCCCCTGCTTTCGTGTTGGTTTTTTGTTGTTGCTATGGCTTTTATTGCAACGCTAGATGAAGTAGAACAAATACAAAGCTTATCGACACACGCACACAGTCAAATGTGTGGAAAAGAGAAAGCCTTCTATTGTGATCTTCCGAATAAAATTGTACCTACAATTAAAAATAGTAATGCTGCTCATATTAGTTTGTTGACCAATGGACTACGTGACTGCACAATAATATTGGCACTGCTTTGGCTGTACATTCATTGACACAAACTGCAGCCAGAGAATGGGCTTTAGCTTTTGCATATGGGCTAATTGCAATAGTTGCAGTGTCAACTAATTGCGTCTTATTTTTATTTGCCTCTGTTTTTGCACGGCTAAAATGTGTGCTTAATTCAATCAAATAGGGTAGAAATCCGATTTGATTTCAAAGATTATTGATATCACCTACACGACAATATGGAAGGGGTGCTTTTATGGTTGTGGGGGTTTGGTTTTGGTGGCGCGACAACCCTTGAAATTATCGAAAGCCTTTTGCTTTCTCGAATTTACATTTGTTCCATGGTTGCGCTGCGCTGCGCAGAAAATAATTTAAAACGAGCGCAGTGCAAAAAGTTGTCTATCAACTTTTGCTTTCATTTTGTGGCGAAAATTCGCGCGTACAGAGAGCGCAAGGCATAAATAACAATTTCAAAAATCACGTATGCGCAAAGAGTAGAGCAGGAACATTGGAGCAATGCCCGTGTGAGAGAGCGGGACAAACATATTGACCGCTTACAAATACACGCACACTGTTAACTGCGGCCAACTTCATGGCGTACAAGGTAGAAATAGCGAGAACATACAATAAAAAGTTAGACGAAAACAAGACGACGAAAAGGGAAAAAAATTAAAATCATTGTTCTAATTTTTCGCATATTGGAGAAACATGGCGTCCTTGTTGTTTTATAACGGACTTACAAATATTTAAGTTCACTTTATGTACTGATTTTTTGCCCATGTTCTCTACTGGCTGATGCGCATGTCAAAACATTGAAGGAGACAACACAAATACTCGGCATACACATTGCTATGAAAATGCGGCAAGGGTGTGCCGATTCAAAATCTGATTTAATTATTCCTTAACTTTAGCAAATCGAGCAAAACAAACTAAAATAAAATTGAACAAAACAATTATTTAGAGTTGGCAACTCTGTGTATGGGTCATTACTTCACGTTGCACAAAGCGGAATCAAAAGCAAAACAAATGAACCAGCGAACGTGCGCGAGGGAGCACGCTATATACACGGCCAGTGGGGAAAAGAATATGCAATCAAATATGGCGACACAGAGTATGCAAAAAAAAAAAAAAAAAAAAGCAAGACAATGGAGGCATCAACAAATGAAATATTTTTAACTTCCCCGAATGAACATTAAAACAGATTTACAATTACTTCGGAGCATATTTGCATAACTTATTTGAATAATTTTTTGACGAACCAAAAGAAGTTTACGATTTGGGCGCGCACTTACACTCACATACACACACACACACATGTTTTACTCACCGTTTACTAGGTTATTTTTCCGTTTTCACTTCATTTTGCACAACTCAGTTTAATTTGACACAATCTACGTGGTTTTTATTTTTCAGAACTTTTTAATTCAACTTTTACAATACAAATTGGATTTGTATACACTTGGACACTTGTTTTTTTGTTCTGTTGCACATTGTTGATTCGTAGCATTCAGAAAATAGCGCGACGCTGTTTTGAACGTTTACTACCTGCATAAATCAAAATGTTTTTACTTTGATTAATCAATTTTATTATTATTAATACCGTATGGCACAAGAAACAGAGGATAAAACGCGCAAGAAAAACACATACACGGATGGGGCAAAACCCATGTGTGGGAGTGAGACGTCTAGTTTGTTGAGCCAGGCGCACAGCTAGTGTGACCGTTCTAGCTTGTGGCCCAGGCATGCCAACTGTCTATTATCGGCTATTTTATTTTGTTCACCGAGCTGCCCAGCTTCTTCTTCTTTATTTTTATGTTGCTATGTCCCTGCTTTAGCCTATTACTACTGCGCCTGGCCATTCCGAAATGCTGTACGTACATATTCCGATTTCGCCTTTCCGCCTATTCGTTGATACTCACACAAACGTATATCTGTGCATGCCTTTCGACGTAGGTATTTGTAAAATCTATACACACGGATATTGGCGCACATATACACAAAACTAAAATAGTTAAATGTTATTAACTAGTCCGCTACAAACTATTCACATTTTGAACGTTCAAAAAAACTGCAGTTTTGGGAAAATCTGGAAATCACAGATACACAAAATAAGCAAATAAATGAAACTATAGCTTAATGACAATAAGTCGAAATGAACTAATTGGCCAAGTTTCGTACGAAGACTAGGAAATTATTTCAGAAACGGAACGCACAGTCAAGTAAACTATACTTTTTGTACAATTCTTTATATCTCTCCTACACTCACACAAATACTATATATATGTATATATAGACCGCGGCTAGTACACGTTTAGCGTTGTCTCACTCCTACCTACGCTCCGCACGTATTTTCCCTCTCACATTGTGTGTGTTTTCCTCTTTTCCAACACGCTAATAAGAAATCGTAAATTAAAAGTGCTTTTGCAGCTAAACTAACACGTTTCACGGGGGAATTTCATAGTTCTGCGATTGCCGCGCTCGCATACTACGCTCCCAGCTATTTTCACAAATTTTTTGTTGACGTTTCGAGCACAATTTTCACACGTTTTGCTCACAACTTTCCGCTTCTAAAAAATTAGCGACTGACCAACCGAAGACGGTCACACTACAGCGGGCGATTAATCGTTATCGCTCAACCAGGGCTGTGCAACGTTTACTTTTAGTGTTTAAAAATTGATTAATATTAAAAGCCCGTTCTTATTTTTTTTTAAATAAATTTTTATAGATGTTGGCTTTATACAAAAAATTGTTGTAAATAGCTTGTGCGATGTATTTGAATAGTTTTTTTTATTGCAAACGGTTAATTTTTGTTTTCGATTTTTTTTGCCACATGAGGTTTATTTTGCGGAAACTGAGGAAGCCACACTGCTGGAAAATCTTAATTAATAAAAAAAATATTTTATTTAATTATTTTGCACGATATTGTCCAAGCCAATTTGAGGTACACGAGTGATAGTTTAACATTTACTGTAATTTTGCTGTTGGAAAACCAGAACCAAAAGGTCCATCTTGACTTCATTTTTTGTTGACCTGAACCCATGTTTATAATAGAAATATTAATATTTGTACTGTTTACTTAAAGATACAAAAATAAAGGACACCTTTGAAAAGTGAGGGGAAAAATGGAAACGAATGTGAACCCTCTGGCCGTAATTCTTGTTTACTTCGACAGCAAGGGAGATCGTCTTCTATATAGATATCCGTATCAAACACTTGGCCAAACGGAGGCCAGCGACGAGCAGAGAAAGTCCAAGTTTGTATTCGATTTTTGAACTTTCAACTAAATTAGATTCATCGAATCTCACACAGAAAGCGAAATCCATATGCAGTGGCCAATGTCGACGACCTGCTGCAGACGCCCACTCACTTGGGGGGTTCCAAAGGCCAAGGGCAATTGCAGGGATTCGCAGACGAAGTGCTTTCAGCCCTGTTCGCCGTGAAACCTCAGCTCTGCAATCAGAAGTTTGAGCTAAAACTGAACGATGTGCGCTTTGTAAGCCATCCTACGTTGATTCCTCACAAGGAGCAAAGGAGCGGAGCAATGGCCAAGCAGCAGATGCTTATCAACATTGTGTTTGCGCTCCACGCCCAGGCCAGCTACTCGATTGTGAAATGTTACCACGAACTTAGCAAGCGTTTGGGTTTGGCACTGAAGTTCGAGGAGCAACGCAGTGGCTATCTTACCGAGCAGACGGCTCACATGGCCCGCACCCACGACGAGCAACAGCAACAGCCGCTGGAACGCATCCTAGAGCTGGTTGCAGAACGCTGTAGCTTGGCCCAAGCCCTGCGCTCCATATTTCACGATCTGTGCACCACCGGCCTTCTGAGTACCTCGCTGAATCACAACCTAACGCTGTGCTTTTGTCTGCCAGCTAAGGCGCACCAATTACACAAGAAGGGCAGCATGGTGGACCCGGAGACCATAGATCGCTGTCTTCGTGCCTTGAAGCCCTATCATGGCATGCTGCTGCTCGTGGACTTTGCCGAATTGCTAGACTGCGTCCCGCCAACAGGGGCACGCATGCTGTGGCAACTCGTCGACGCCTACAATCCGCTGATAAGCCTTCAGAGCATGGCCTCCAATGCGGACTTGAGCATCGAACACGTGTACAAGCTGGTCTCGCATTTGGTCTACTGGGCCAAGGCCACAATTATATATCCGCTCTGCGAAACAAATGTCTATGTGATCGCGCCAGATGCGCCACTGCACACAAAGTCCCATTTAGTGGAGAAGTTTTCCGCTCGCTTTGCCGGTATGTCGCTTTTCGAGGTGATCTCGGATTTCTCGTTGCCAACGTCTATTGGGCACTTAACCACACCCCTGCAGCAGCCGGCACGTCAGGGTATACTCGCACAGATGGTCATTTGGATGCTGCAACACCATCTCCTAATCCAACTCCACACCTACGTGCAATTTATGCCCAGTGAGGATGAGTTCGGGGACTCGGCATCCTGCAGTAATCACCTAAGGGATATCGTCAGCGACGAAGAGGGAGATCAGGAACAGGATGCGGACGAAGTGCATGAAGGGTCCATGTTGAGCATGTCCAGTCAACCGTTGCCCGTGCCAGCGGTCTCGGTCGGTGCACGCCGTCGCGACAACTCCGAGGACCATTCTTCACTGGCCTCCGACAACATCGCTGTGCAGCCGTCTTCTAGCCACAAGTCCAACTTCAGCATCACCGCATCGATGAGCACTGACAACTGCGACAGCCTCGATTCCATGGAGGACGAGCAAAAGTTAAAGGAGTTGCTACAGGTCTTTAGCGACGCGGATCGTGCCGCCATCCGTCGAATTCCCGCTTCCGCAAATGTCGATGATCTCTCGCTGCTGGTGAAGCTCTACCAGATGGGCTACTTCAAGAGCGAGCACCACCTGGAGGAGATAATGTATTTCGAGAACCTGCGCCGATCACAGCTACTGCAACTTCTGGATAAGTTCAGAGATGTGCTTATCATCTACGAGACCGAGGATCCGGCAATCGCATCTATGTACAATACCAAGTAAATTAGGTCAAATTGTTCATTCCTAGAAATGTCTGTTGTATGTTTTTGTTAGCTTATGAATGTATAATCTATCAAATAGAAATGTATCTAGTTTATAAAATCTTGGAAAGCAAACCAAATTGATATTTGGTTTTAAATAAATCGTTTGTTATTTTTTCAAGCACGGGAACTACATATGTATGTATATGAACTAGAGAGTTGAAAGTTAAAGAGTTATTTATAAAATTGGTCACGCCTACTTTATCACCCACATATCAATTTTTGGTGTTGAAGAAAAGTTTGTAGGCAGAATATATTTATTCTGTTCGATTTTAGCATTATACGAACTTTGTTCAAAGCACATTGTTTTAAACAACTGGATTTACATATATGTATGTCGGAAAGGTCTCCAAAAGAAAACATAATAACATTATAATTTCTTTGCTTTTAAGCAAGAAAATCGGACTACTATATAAAACGGGTGAATTTACTTTCTGACAGTTAAAAATGTTAAAATAAATTGTATGCCCACTCTACTATTTAAAGAACTATCGATGTTCGAAATATGTACGCGCCAAATTTACAAAAATCGAAATAATATATTATCATTTAAAATTGTGTCCCTGTAATTTAAAATTTGTAGCATTCCAGATCCTTTATCTGATAAAAATATAAAATGAGAACTGATCCGATGAAAAGATTATGGTGAAACACCACCAGATAATGCAGTTTTGCTAGGTTTGGTATTTTTTGGTATTTTATTCCCCAGCTGAAATTTTTACTGCAATTGTTTACCTTCGATTCATCCTGGAAACAACTGAATTTCGGTTATGCTGGACATCTCGCAAATGTGCCGTGTTTGCAGGGACGAGTCCGACTGTCTGGTGGACCTGTTCGCCGAGTCCTGTGCCTCCAGCTGGGATCAGGAACAGGAACCGCATTTGGCGACCATGCTAACCGAGTGCAGCGGATGCAGCGTGGCCAGATCGGACGGAATGCCGCAGTTCATCTGTGTGGAGTGCGCGAAGGCCACCAGGAACGCCTTTCGGCTAAGACGTCAATGCCGAAAGAGTCGTCACTACTTTGACCAGCTGCGTGCTATGATCCAGGAGCTGGAGGGCATTGAAGCTGGCCTGAAGATGAACTCGTGCATCGAGGACGGAGCAAGTCCGGAGGCATACGAGCCCCAAGGCCTGGAATCATTTTTTGGGGAACTCGTGGAGCTTAAGTATAAGTCCCTACCATCGCAGGAGAAATTCAGTTTCAAATGCGATCTGCCACCAACTCCTCCAGACAGCAATGAACCCATGAAAACCTACTCTTCGGTGAGGGAAATAGTCAATAAAACCACTACTACCCGGAAAAGGACGGTATCCTACTCGGAAAGCGAATCCTGGAATCCAGAAAGTGACCCTGACAAAGACGACGATAACAACTGGCAAGCCTCGAAAAAAAGAAAGTTGCAGAAGGTTCGGAAAGCCTTTCAGTGCCCACACTGCGTCCAATCTTTCTCCCATAAAAAGCATCTTGAGGTACACATGCGGATACACACTGGGGAACGGCCCTTTAAGTGCTCCTTATGTCCGCGATCCTTCACCCAAAAGGGAAACTTGGCGACCCACAACAGGGTTCACACCGGCGAGCGACCCTTCAAGTGTCCACATCCAGAGTGCAGATCCAGCTTCCGGCAAATTGGCCAGCTCAACGTCCACTTCCGGGTTCACACCGGCGAACGACCTTACAAATGCGACATTTGCCGGTGTTGTTACAGGCAAAAGAGCGGCCTGCAGAAGCATATGATCCTACACACCGGAATAAAGTTTTTGCCCAAAAGCCAAAGAATTGAAAAATGTAGCATTTAAATGTTTCTTTAAATTCATATCAAAAACTTTCATTCGCGGTTGTCAACAGAGAGATTTGGTTTCTAAACAATTGGATTAACAATCCAATATATTCCTTACAAATATAACTAAGCCTTCATAATAATAATCTCTACGCTTTTAAATAGTTTTTAATGATTTCTTTGTTTTTGAAATATTAAGAAAAAATACATTTCATTTGTGACGTGCCTACATAATCGAATATTTAATATTTTACCAATTCTTAAAAACTTTGTTTCAAGTAATTTTTAAACTTTAAGTTTTGCAAATTCCATCAGCCCTTAAAACCAAAAATAGTGTAAACATTTTGCACTAAATCAAAATTTTGTTTTTGTCTATTTAAGGTAGGATTCTAAGAAATAATAAAATGTTTTCATGCATACTGTAGAATCGAAGTGCTGTTTTTTTTACCCTTTCAGTCGCTTTTTAATTTTGTTCATATAGTATACATAGTTTATTTATAACATATTTAATATAACAACTATCAATTAATGGGCTAATAAAATAGTTGGTTAAACAAAACGTATTTATTTGAAAAGCAAATCATAAGAAGTACAGTTATTAGTAACCTACTTAAATTTATCCTGGAATGGACTTTTATTTGTCGTCCTTAGACTTAGATATTAACAAATATACTTGGTATTCTTCTTCTCGATATACTTTTGGTTTAGATTCTGTTCCATAGATGTATTAGTAAACGCGGTAAATAAGATGGTCTCGCGATCGACAGTCGGAGGAATTCTATTTAAGAGATCGTCGTTTGGGACGAGTGGCATTATTCTGGGATCCTTTTGTATGGGTGCGACTGTGCATGGTTAACTGGGCCTTGCCGGTAAAACTTTTGGGGCAATCAGGACATTTAAAGGGTCTCGGCTTTTCGTCTTGCAACTTGGGTTTCTTCTTTTTTGGCTCCAGGTAATCTTCGTTCTCATCCTCCTCTTCGGGTTCGCTCTTGACGCGATCCACCAGACACCAGTCCTCGGCCTCTAGGATATCCAACGTCTCCCGGTCTTTTTCCTCCTCCTTCACGCGTTCCAGGTAACCGATGTTCCTTGCGTACCGCCTTCTGAATCGCTGAGCACTCCGCATCTTCCTTAGGCATGGTTCGCAGACCTTCATGGGAAAACCGTCGTCCGAAGAAATCGGAAACGGGCAGCACTGTTTCAACAGATCAGCGGGCGTGGGTTCCGGTTCCTTGGCCTGCTTAAGTTCGGCGGACAAGCTGTCCCCCAAGCTCTTGTTGTCGTATATGTCCACCAGTTCCTCCGCCTCGCCCATGCACACGCGGCACATCTTCATCAGATCCTCCATGGCCATGTATATTCGATCAGAATTTAATTCTATTTTGAAAGGAATTCACTGCCCCGATCGGTGTGACCGTCATTCGTCAAGAGAAAAATATAAGTTGGCGCCATGCCAGGAAAGCATTCTGCACCCAAAGAGGATAATGATGTGATGTTATTTTTGTAGACGGTACTCATACCCACACTGTAATAAAAAAGTACTAGAATTTATAGTGTGTTATAAAACCAAACAAAGAAATTTATTTTTCAAGTTCAAAACTACCTTAAAATAATATTTATTAATTAACTAAATTGTTTAAGAATACAAATAAAATATACATGTAAAGACAAGGTTTTTAAAATCTTTTAAAATAATGTAAGAAACTAAACCGATAATTTGAAGATAAAAACGTTTAAAGCTTAAAATGGTTTTTATTGGCACCCGTTAAATTTTGGCTAAAAAATACCTGAAAAGTGTTGTAAGGTGAAGTAAAAATTATATTTCAAACGAAGAGTTTTGATGCCTAATTAGGATTCCTAATTGGAAATAAGTCTTTGAACTATGATTTTAAATATATCCGACGTCTACTAATTAGTAAGACGTCGGATTATATTTTAATGACGGTCACACCGATCGGGGCAGTGAATTCCTTTCAAAATAGAATTAAATTCTGATCGAATATACATGGTCATGGAGGATCTGATGAAGATGTGCCGCGAGTGCATATGATTTTAAAGACTTATTTCCAAGAGATCTTAAACGCTGGCTTAATTATTTACATTTATTCTTTCACTAAACAAATTTCTTTCATTAATTTTTACTTTGATTTAAGCTTTATTTTAATAAGTTTTTAAGAAAAAGATGCGTGTCAAATTAATGATTGCATATAATGGTTTTACATATTAAGAAAGAAAGAAAGTTAAGAAAGGTTTCTACTTAATTTCGATTTCTGCAAGAAATGGCAGGGACACCAACCCATAAATCTTGATCAACAAAGTTCAACTGGGCAGTGGTCATTGCCTTCTAAGCTTATCGCCCCATAGAATATATGTACATATATATACATACATACTTAAGCAACATCATGAAATACTAAGATAGTGGGGCAAGACCACAAAGCTATAGTCAGCTCCTTCTCTGACCAACCGAAGTAAAGATAATACTCAAAAGACATTGATTACAGAAGAGTTCATAAAATTTATTGTATATTTAGCGCCCTCGGGGCGGGAAAATAAAAGATTACATAAAATAGAAAGATTAGAGTGCAGGGTTTATCTACATCTCCACATAGGTGGGCATGGTCATCACACCGCAATTGTTCTTTCGTGCCGACATCAGGATATAGCCATCGTTACCCCAGTACGTGGACCAGGAGTTCTTGACCAACCAGTAGTCCTCTCCGTTAATGCTGCCATAGCCCACTGCCAGGACCGCGTGATCCAGTCCATCCACATCGTTCTTGCACGAGGGTTCATAGTAAACGCCGTGGGAGTAGAAGCTGAAAGTCCTTGGTGAGGCGTCAATTGCCACCGATAAAGGTCCATGCTTGAGCAGCGCCAGCTTGAAGGCATTCGGGTCGTTGGAAGTCACATTTACGAATCCCTTGATTGGCGCCACCAAGGTTACGTTGTTAATGTGGCAGTAGCCATCCTGTCCCAAGTAAGGACCGTACTCCTCCTCTGTGGGCACTCCACCGGACTCCAGCATCCACTGGTACACGCGGAAGTCCTCGCCACCATCGCAGCCATTGTTGCCGTAGGCCCAGGAGCAGTCTATCAGAGCTTGTTGCGATAGCCGGACAAGATTGTTGCCGTTCTTCAGGAAGAAGGCTCCCTCCAGGTGACCAATGGTACCAAACGACCAGCAGGATCCGCAGACAGATTGATCTAATGAAAGTTTAAGTAAAAAAAAATATATCAATGTGAAATGTATTGTGCTAAATGCTTCTAAAAGTTAATGATTCATGGGAAAACCTAATTCTAATTCTGCCTTTGTTTTTGCACAGAATAGCTGATAATAAATAATGATTAATAAAAAGAAATAGGTGGCTTGAATAAGTAGGGAATTATAAAGTTTGCACCCACCTTTAACGGGAGTAACGGCACCGTATAGCCTCCAATCGTACTGGTCGGGAATTTCGTCCTGGTACTTGGCAACATTATAGGGGAACGGCTTGCCGGTGTTGTACACTCCCGACGATTTGTATCCGCGACGCGCCTTGAGTTCCTCCTCGGTCTTATCGGCCAGGTGATTAACAGCCAAAGTATAGGTAAGCTTGGCTCGGTTCTTTGAGTGAATGTAGCGCAGGTTCTGTCGGAAGATGTTCTTCCGATGCTCGTGCTCAGAGTCGGTGCGATAGGAGACGCCGTGCTTGTGCTTGAAGTGGTGGAAGGCCTTGTCCACATGCTCATCGGTCCCAGTTATAAACTCCTGCATAGGATTAAAGGTGGCATAGTGACCGGTGCCGGGTCCAGGAAATCCCACGCACTGCAAGCTGTCGTCGATCTCAAACACTTCGTTGGGTATATCATCGTGCTCGTAGCTGTCGTAGTCCAAGTAGTAATGATCGTAGTGGGATCCCAGCAGGGTGTTATAGCCCCTCATCTCGTATCGCACGGGAATGGGCATCCGACTAGAGGGATAATGGGGTGACTTCTTGTACCGCACCCACAACGTATAGACGTTCTTCTTCTGGCCAATGTTTGACTCCAACCGGAACTTGTCGCAGGTATAACCCAAAAAGGTTTCGGTGCCCACCAGGCTAAAGGGTTTCGCATCGGGCAGGATACTCTGGATCTCGACTGCCTGATCGGCGGTGCCATTCACCTGCAGACAAGTCAATTTGTTGGTCTCCGAGTGGGTGGTGATCGGTGCCAGTTTTAGCAGGGTTCCGAACTGGCCCTCGCCGGCCAGCTGGTACGTCTTCACCATTCCGCCGTAGTAGTCGATACGGGATCGCTTCGTGTTCTTGTCATACCAGGCGTAGAATGGCTCCGCAATCTCGGCATACGGAATAAAAAGTGTGCCCTTGACTATATAATTTGCATCCCATCGTGGTGGTTTCGTGGCATCCACTATTTTTTCGGCGAAAGTGGGGAGAAATAAAGATGGGTAAAAATAAGCGGGAATTAAAAAAAAATACGAACGGTAAAGGGTCGCCATTGCGGTTTAAGCTCACGCCACCGTCTTAGACATGTATGTACGTATTTATACAAATTCTCTTATGTCTTAATTTGACTAAATATATGTATGTACTTGCGACTGTTCTGTTTTATCTACATATTTCTTAAAAATTTTAAATTAACAATCCTTTTTTGGAAAAATGGTTGAAATCAAGACACTGAAGCTGTGAATTTGAACTATGTACATACATATGTACATATTTAAAAATCGAATTTGTTAAATTAAGTATTCCCATTATTATTAATTATTTTAACTTAATTAGGAAAATATAAAGTATCAATTAATTTTCAACCACTTAACAATGCAAATAGTTTTAAAAGAATTAACAATGCTAATAGTTTGACCTTATTTGTTGTTTAAATGCTGCAGTTTAAAACACACACATGCAAAAAGATTATTCTTTGTTTGGCTTAACAATTTTTGCAACCTAATGTTTTTAACTCACCCGACAAAGCCAAGCCTGCGAGCAGGGCTAAAGCTAAAAACACTTGCATTCTTAAGAACACACGAAAGGAATGTCTGGAATATCAATTGATACGATTCAGCTATACTTTTTTAGATTAACTACCAATCTTTTTGAAGAATTAAACTGTTCTGCCGGCTCCAGGGTCCGACTGCTATAACAACAACTTCTTTGAGTGAGAAACAATGTGACCGGGGAATCGTCAATCAAATATACCGTCGGGTTCTTGTAAATATAGTTGTTATACCATTTTTATTTTTGCAAATATACCAATACCATAACAATTTTTTTTTCTTGCTGAGTTATTAAATTTATTATATATTTTGAAACTAAATTAATTGTGATTTTTTTTAAATTATATAAAAAAAATTTTTTCTTTGGAGATCATTGTATCTTGAAAAATTAAAAAAATTAAAATAATCAATATGAATGAATTTCTTTAGAGATCCCTTAAAAAGATACCTTTAGGTATCAAATTATGCAAGATGATTAGGCTCAAAATAATAAAGACTTTTTATTCTCGACTGCCTTGTCTAATACAATGAATTTTATAATTTTAAAAATATTTGTACTTTAATCTACATACAATATGTACATATTTCTTACATTGATTTTTACTGAGTTAACCCCACAAAGCAATATTATTTTTTTTATCCTGGACGCCTGAAGCTTCCTTCCTTCTTCCTACAAAAAGTGCAAAATCAAACAATTCACAGTTGATATGAAGTATTTCACTAATTTTTTTATTTTACATAAATATTAATATTCGAAAAACAAACACAGTTTAACTTTGACGGTCTTTCGACAGAACCAGCTGAAAAGGCCGTTTACCGATATGAGTTCTTATGTGGTCGTTAAGATATTTAACATTTTTGAAGTACAACGGGCAAAAAGAACATTGGTGTGGACTTTCTTGCCTATGAGTAAGGAAATGCTTTGTAAGAACTGAATTTTGACTAAAGACCTCTGGGCAATGAGGACATTTTTTTCTATGCTTGCGGGTGTCGGTATGCAATAAACTGTGTAATTCAAGCAGGTTTAAGAATGAAAAATGTTTTGAGCAATGGGAGCACTTGTACTTTCGCGTTCCCTTAGTATTATGAGTGAGGATGTGGTTCTTTAGAGTGGACTTATGGGGATAGCACTTAAGACATTGCGGACACTTGAAAAGACTGCCGTTGTGAATTCTAAGGTGTTGGTTAAGATTATATAAAGATGCAAATGTTTTTGGACAATAAGAACAGTGATGGGGCCGTTCCTTCGTGTGAGTTTGAAGGTGTATCCTAAGTTTTGATAAATAGGTATAGGTTTTCGGGCAGTGGGAACATTTAAGAGGGTGATTGTGGGCTAATCTTTTAGATTTTTTAGACTCCTTGATATTAACCAGACCCGTGCATTCATCAAATGCAAAATCTTCGTTCGATAATTCATTATAAATGGGCTCATTTCTTACTTTAATATTGTCGTTGATAAATGTCTTATTTTCCTCTAGACCTGCTTTATCTTTTCCGCTTTTCATATGCAGTTCTTTGAGATCTTGGACATCAAACTGGTGGTATTTCTGATACCAAGTCCATTGCTGGCTTTCACAGTCTGAAGTTATGCTCGATTCTTCGTCCAGGAACTCCATCTCATTGGCTTCTTCCTTAACATGATACAATACTTTGTCGAGAAAATCATTCTCAATTGTTTGCTTCTTAACTTGGTTATCCAAATTAATGGTTTTCTCGACATAATTAGACCTCTGACTTCTACGATCGGAAGTTTTGACCAATTTTTTCTCCTGGAGATGTACCTGAGTGTCTGCTTCCCTCAATTGGTTAAGCAAACAATTGACTTTTTCGCCAAAGTTCAATTTTTTAAATTGTGCAGACTTGCACAATTCTTCGTCTTCGTCTAGGAACTCCTCATCAATGTCTTCCTCCTTCATTTGGCCATGGAAAAGGTTTGCTTTGTAGTCCTGCTCCAGATATTCTTCTTTCCCTTTGCAGTAGAGTTGGTAGCTTCTCTCGTAGGTTTGCTTAATCTCAAAGGCATTTTGCACATCCTGAAGGCAAGGATTGCAAATCACTTCAGGAAGTGAATCTCCTTTCTGAACTGAAAACCCCGTACTTTCAGATATCATATCCGCTATTGAAATATTCAATGTTTGGGAACCATCAAATATGTTAACCAAGGCTCTATCCTTTACCAGACAAGCTCGACATATTTCCATTATTGCTCTAAAATAGATGATAAATATGATAAGAAAATTGAATGTATAAATTCATTAAATACATTACTTAAAATTTTGTAGTAATTCCATACATATCTTTTGTTTGTTTGCTGTAAACTGCTATATTCAGTGTGACCGCATCATGTTTGATACAAAATACCACGTTATGGAATAAATATAGCCGTTTTTTTTATCCAAAAATGTAAGACAAACTTCTAAAAAATATACATTATACATTAATTATAAAATAATTCTTTTTTTATGCTTATATTTTGGAAAACCCTCGAAATAACAGGGTCTAAAGGAAATCACGTTTAATTCAAAACTTTGTTATTTTTAAAAGTTTTAAATGCATATTTTATTAATAATATTTATTGTTAGGCAAAACATCCAAAAAATAATACTTAAATGTATAACATGCATTATATAAATTTAAAAAATTGATTAAAAAAATTTATTTTTCCTATCTCTAAGATGGCTTTTTTCAGTTATTTATTTTCCTATTTTTCTTAAAATATAAATTAAAGGCAAACAGCTGACTTTAAAGTGGTGTCCCAGTCGCTCGAATTTCTCTTTTCTCCCTCAATCTTGGTTAGCAAAACGGATAGGATTCTCATCCCCTTTTTTTAAAACTCAACCCTACGTCAAGTTCTCCTGCATTGCGACCATTCTTCTCATAGAACCGAAAGTCCAAAAACCGAAGACCAGGAACAGATGTCAAGCAACTACCGAAGGAGCAGCATCGGCGTCCTCGCCCACGCATCGTCCTTTACCGTTACTGCAGTGGGTTCGGTTCAGTTCCGATTAGTTCGCCATTCGCATAAGAACCAATACAAAATCGCTTAGCTTTTTTGTACCAGGGCGAACTAGACAATGTAATAATATCTGCTAATGTGCAAAGCGTGGATTAAAACTAGCTCTAACACAAAACCCATACAAGTGCTCACTGCAAAATCGCAATTAAAATTGCATTAAAAATTAAACGAATCGCGTGTGTGTGTGTCTCTGTGATGCGGAAAGTTTTGGCTGCGCCAAATTGGCAAAAGTTAAATGATTAAAGCGTCAAGTTTGGCGAATTATGTGAAAGTTTTAATTCGTAGGCGAACACAATGCTTCGGTGAAATTGCCACTGGAGAAAAACAAGCTCGAAAAAGGTAAAAACGTGGCTGAAAATCAAATCAAACTTTGATTTATCGCTGATTGGTTCCTAGTTGGCTGTTTGGCAGGCCATTTAAGTTGGCACACAAAAACAAGAACTCCCAGACGAATTTGTGTATATATCTTCTACATAGGTACGCTACAATACATAGCTGTATGTATGTACATATATGTTATGTACGAATCTGTGTAGTATTATAGGCCTAGTGGAGCATTTCCTGCCCTTGTCACAGTTATTACGTTTTCTCTATGCTGCTGCTCTCCAACTCACACAGTCACTCATCAAAAAGTCAACAAAAACAATTTAAATTATGGAAAAGCTCAAGGAGCAGGATACATGAAAGCCTTGAAAGCCTCTTTAGGCGAAGATAGAAATTAATATCGAACGAAATTTAATTTTAAACATTACTGTCATAGAAAGAAAATTTTTAGATGGATTCTAAAAAGATATTATAAAAATGCCTTTTATTTGCATTTACTTTTGATTCAAATGCTAAAAGGTTTTTTTTAAATTGTATTTTTAATTTTTGAGATAATTGCTAAAAACTAAGTTTGTATATTGCAACAAAGTTTCGAAGCCGCAGAGCTCAACTTTCGTTTTCTGGAAATATATGTATATGTTTTATCACTGGGAAACATTTTAGATACACTAACCGACTAATTTTTTAGCATTGTTCTTCAGCTTAAATTAGTTAAATTATAAATAAAAGTGTCATATTCTGTAAACTATTGGCACTATGCCGACAAATAATCAAATTAAATAGAGTCCTAGTTAAGCAATTGTGAAAAAAGTTAATATTTTTAAGTTTAACTTTATTTAATAATTGCTCGTGAAAATTTTCGTTAACATTTAAAATTACGGAATTGTTTTGAATTTCTCATGCTAGTGCCGAATAGTTCACTTTTGGAAGCATACTTTTACGGGTCACAGCGGCCGTTACTTTGATTTTGTGGGAATCAAAATCTGTACGGCCCAGCTGACTTGAGGTCCTAGTAAAAGACAAAAGCCAAGCGCACACACACACGGGTGTGTGTATATGTAACCGAAAAATTGTAAAACTTTTATTACCTTAGAGCAGGACACACTCCGAAGGGAAAACGGAAAGTGCTAAAATATATTGCACGTATGCACGTGCATGTGTGCCCGAGTCTCTCTCTGTGTGCTTGTATGTGTTTGTGAATGTTATTCGTGTGCGTCTACGGGTCCTTTTTAGCTGTGTGTAACCTACATTTTAAACGGCATCGGCGACACATAAGAAGCCAAAAGCCGTGGCCGAAAGCAAGTGGGCGGGCAATAGGGGCGGCGGGACGTATTTCGGCGTATGTAAATTTGCCTTTATCAGTGCCTAAAAGTAGGAGCCCACCACACACACGCACACGAGTGCAGTTTTCGCAAAGTCCTTATGTACCGCTATTCTCTGGGGGCAGGCGCTCTCTCTCTTTAGCTCCCTCTCACTTGAGTAAGGGTCTCTCTGAGAGCGCCGAGCTGCGGCGATGCAGAATGCAGGATGATGTTTGCGTTCGTCGCTTCCGTTACCGTTACTGTAACACTGCCCGTCTCCCTACCACTCCCCCGCATGTCCTTGCACCCATACAAGTGCAGCAGGACGTGCGTTCATTCACATCTCCGCTGCAAGTGTGTGCACTCAAAAAAAGGATTTTTACGCCTTAAATCAAGTAAAATATAGATTAGAATTTGAATATCTAGCCGCAAATAGGAAAATATGTTTTGTAAAATCAACAGAATTGATTGTCTTTAAGTTTGTCTTTAAAGTTTTAGATATACTAAACATTTTTATAAATGTTGAAAACTTTTGTTTTAAGTTGTTTCCCAAAATGTTTGATAAAGCTAAAACGAAATTATAATATTTTTAATACAATATACTTGTAGGAGTAGCACTAAACGTACTGAATGATGTATGGATAGGTTGTTAATTAAATAAAAAACACAGTTAAACTCAAATACAATATAATTCAAACGATTTTTTTAGTGTATAGAATGTCCACTAAGTCCCTGTGTATCCTTTTCGTCCTTACCTCCGAATCCCCGACGCTTGTTATTGGACTTGCATTTCCGCTATTCCGATTTTTCCCCCAGCCGGTGTAAATTTATATGCATAGTGTTGGGCGGAATTGCATTATGAACATTTTAATGGTTCGCCGAGACATAAAAATATATCGCACTTACATAAATTGCTCTGCTCTTTGCTGGTTACTCGCTCACTTTTCTCCAAGTCCATTCCCTTTCTACCCCGAAAACACAGAGCTTTTAAACGTGTCCGTAATTACATAAACATTTTGCCAACCGTAAGGTTAGAAATATGCACGTATTTTTGTTTGCCAACTAAATGCCTTGTTAGGTAAATTTTCTTTAGAGTGCGGAAAGTTTTAGTTTCCCTGCCGCTCCGAAGGAATAGAAAATAAATTGCCCTCAAGGAAATGCAAATTGTTTTTCAAATTATACATCCACAAGGAGGAAGTTTATGTCTTTGTTGTTTAAGATTGTTATCAAAAAGTGAGCAACTGCAAGTTCTTAAATAGTTTGATGGATGCGCTAAACATTGCCGAGGATTTCAATTTAGATCGTTTATTAATTGAACACCCGATGAAGATAACATTATTTATTATTATACCCTTGCAGAGGGTATTATAATTTCAGTCATAAGTTTGCAACGCAATGAAGGTGACATTTCCGACTCTATAAAGTATATATATTCTTGATCGATATAGCCATGTCTGTCTGTCCGTCCATCCGTCCATCTCTACTTTGAAACTTTCCCAAAAGCTGTCTTTCTATAGCAGGTAGTATATAAGTCGAAACAAAAAAAAAAATAAACTTCGGATTGCCGAAGTTTGCTCCCTTTCTTGTTATTGTTTAATATAAGTCCGAAGAAAGAAACTGACAATAATATTCAAAAACCAAAACATGAAAATCTAGACGAATTGTTTTTGTATTCCATTTTCCCATCCAACACTAAATATTTAATCAAAGTCAAAGCTGTTTCCCAGCGAATAAAAAATCACCCATACGACATGTGTGCTATGTCAGATGTTGTTTAAATATAAATAGATTTCGTTGCTGGTCTTACTATAAAACTAATTCTCAGGGAGCACAAAATATATTTAATAATTCTGCAAGTGCAAAACAAGCTTTATCATGTAAATAAATTTTCTAAACACAACCCAAAGCATTTTTAAAAAAGATTTAAATTGCTTTGTCTTGAAGTCTAATACCGATTTCCAAATCATTTAACACAAGAAATTGCCTCTTGAAACTTTCATTGCAAAACATGTAAATGTCAAATACAGGGGCTAGATTCTGACGATCTGTTCCTGCCCCTCAAACGTGCCCATCAACGTCAGCAGCCACACCTACAATCTGCATACATCTGGCACTTGCCATCATCATCATCGTAAGTGCTAACAAGACCAACACAACCCACCGACCGTCATCATCCTCGCCGTTATCGTCCTCAGAGCCAAACACATATTCCATTATTATTCCCGCTGTTACGTCCCACTTCATATCCCACTTCTGGCTATTTTTATGCCATTTCTGCATTGTTCATTGTTTAGCGCACATTATCGCATTTTCCTCTTAAGGCATCAGCCGCAGATATAACAGCAGCCATATCCTCCGCTCACCTCCTCCTTCAGATTCCATGTCAGTCCACCGTCTGCAATTGTAAATGGTGTTAGGGCAGGGTATATCACGGCCACCATGGGGATATAATCTGCAAATCCCTCTTAAAATATTAGGGATTGAAAAAATAGCTGGTAGAGAAAAAAAATAAATATGTTTATTTCGGGAAAAATATATGGATTAGTCAGATACCATTTAAAAAATTTAAATGAGTATTAGTATACAAACGCATAAGCCATAAACATACAAACTACATTATTGTTGTAAGGTATTTAATCAGAAGGAAACCAAATAAATCTGTTGAATTTTAAGGTCAATGTTAGTTCTTATGGGATTTCTATAATGTACTTATATTTGCGCCTATTTGACTTTTTGTTGCCATCTGAATGCTTACTTTTCATCCATTTCATTGTAAGAAATCAATTTGGTATGGATGACCTATGAACCCAATAACCCATCATACCCTCTTGATATGGGATGGGTTGTAAGAGGGAAACTAAAGCGATGATTCAGATTGTTGCCACACTCACTAAGCTGCCGCAGCGGGTGGCATACAAGGATGTGTGAAAGGGTGTATGGGGTATGGCTGCAGGATGGTATCTCTCTGGGGCATACAAACACTTGGATGCGGAGTGGCTTTTATGTGCGGCGCAGTGCACTGGATAGACGGGATTTCTGCTGGCAATGCCACTGCCAGAATGTCGGGGTTTTGAAATCGAAAACAAAAGAACCTTTTGTGGCAGCCGATGATGCTGTCTGCTCCTCCCTTTTTGTTATCCTTTCACCATTAAACAATTGTCGCCTGTGCGCATCAGTAATTAAGAGTCCCTGTGCATTTGTGTCTACATGTATAGAGCCATAATTACTATTTATAGATGCTATTGGCTTTCGTTTAAGTAGATACACAATGACCAAGCGCATTGAAATGAAAATGTGAACCAACCAAACTATGCAGTCAAAAGAAAAGGCTGATTATTATTTATAAATATTTTAATTTTGTGAGCTCCTTTTCAAATGCCTTTTTAAACTTACCTTTTTTGCATAATAATTTATGTTTATTTTAAATAACTCGTATTATCTAACACCTGGCAACTTAGTTTTTCAACAGCAATTTGAGTTATTTCCAATAGATAATTAATTTTGTTTAACGTTTGTATTATTTAAAGGTAGATTCTACTCTTTTATAAAACACATTGATTTATGAAAAGTAAAAATTGTAATTTTTATTGTTTTGTTGTTGTTTTTATTATTAATATTGGATTAATGATCAAAAAGGTTTTGGTTTGTACTGGTTCACATGGTTTAAAATTGTTGAATGCATATAACTCTCTACAAAACTTTTCAGTTTTAATTAAACTTTTTCTTCTACTTGGGATATATTTATCAACTTTACTTTTTTGAAGGCTTAACCTGTGCGCTTGCGTTTGTTGGCAGCAGTATTGGGATTCTTCTTGATGGTTACAGGTGTCTGTTTCTTTTTGGCCACAGGTGTTTGTCTTTTGGCGGGCGTGGCAGCAACTACTTTGCGTTTCGGGGCAGCGGTGCTGCTTCGTTTTGGTACAGCGGTGGTGCGTCTGCGTCGTCTGTTTCTACGACCTGCGGCTTTATTTCCTTTGGAGACAGTTGATTTTGTGGTACTATCCTCAGATGAACTGCTCTCGGCACTGTTATCTGAAATGTCCCCATCGCTTTCATCTTCTGATAATCCAGACTCAGTGGTGGTAGTGGCATTGCTCTCATCATCATCATTATAATAGTAATAGTCTTCATCATCGTAATAGTCGCTATCTGCAGCACCCGCCACGTAGGCTACCAATATGACCAGGCTTAAGACCAGCAAGAGCCTCATTTTATTCAGATTCAGCGAACAGATAGGTAACCGTATATATACACTTCTGAAGTGAAAATACTTCCATGCTGGGTATTTATAATTTTCTCTTGCTTTTATATAAAGCAAATATATAAAGCTTTTTTACATTTGGTACTTGAATACAATGTACATATTTGGTTTTCAATTATGCTTTTTTATTGTTGCTGGCTTAGAACACCTGTGCTTGCTATTTCTTTGTATTTCATTTTTGAGTCGCTAAAAGTTGGTTTTAAGAAAATATAACGCATTAGAAAAAAGGAAAAAACAATTAAAGTACCATTTAATATAAAAGGAACCAAGGTTAGCATTTCTAACAATAACAAAAATTAATACAAGAGTTTAAAAAAAATATGTTTCCCCAAACTAAGGTGTTGGATTTAAAAACACCTAAATTTTTACAACTTTGCAATAAAAATTTTTTAAATAAAAAATACTTATCAAGACACAGGGCAAGTGAATATATATTTAAATTATAAAACAAGGTATCTTACATATATTTATAGATGAAAAGAAAGGAATATTGTACAAGTAAGAGATCTGTCACCAATATTATTTTACATCAATTGGTTTAAAAAGATCTCTAATCTTGGCAACACTTAGTGGATATGTAAATCACGAATGCTTTTTTGCGATTGAATTTTTCTGAAAACTTTACTGAAAACGTATTGATTTGAAAACATCTGGTTAATCTAGAATTAATCTATAACGATAAACAATTAAATTGTTGCCTTTTGAACAAACGTCTCGATTTATATTCCAAGCATTATCAGTTATTAGGTAAAATAAATTTTGGTGTAAATTAAATAAATTGATTTTTACTTTTTAAGTTCGCTTTAACATAGCAATTAATTTGTTATAGTATTTGAATTTGGCTAATTTAGCTGGATTTATCCAGAACGTCTGCGTTTGTTGCCTAAGTTATTTTTTTGCTTTTTAGCGGCAATAGGTGTCCCCTTCTTAGCTGCCTGTTTTTTGTTTCTCTTGGCACTTGGAGTGTTACGACGTCTCGGTGTCTTATTTTTCTTGTTCTTCCTGTTATTTTTACCATTTCCCTTTTTTTTGGCATTATTTTTTTTATTTTTTCGAGCAGGAGTGGATAGTTCCTCATCACCGTAGGAGTAATCCCAATAGCTATAGTCGTTGTTACTATCGTCGCCAGCATCTTCATCATAGTTTCCAACGTCTTCAGAGTTATTCGTATTGCCATCCACAGAGTTATCTTCATATTCAACATTAAAGTCATCTTTGGTTGCAATTGTAGAATTATCAGCATTGCTTGCATCTGTAGAATTATCAGCATTGCTTGCATCTGTTGAATTATCAGAATTTTGTGCCACTGCCACATGGGCGAAGAATACTGCCGATGTCAGAACCAGTAGAAGTTTCATTTTCGCACTTAGAAGATATCGTGATCTAAACGAAGAAAGTTCAAGCCGCTGGTTTTTATAGACCCCTATTTGTCCCAATTTAAAAGTAAATATTGAGTTTAAGAAATAAAATAAAAAAAATTAGAAATTTTTCGTTAGCTTACTTTTGGGACAGCTGTGTGTCACTTTCTAGATTATAAATTTGTTTTAGAAATGATATTCTTAACCCATTGCAGCCAAATCTAGTATTCTAAAAAATGTTCTGAAAGAAATACTTTTGGTTAGGTGTTCGGAATAGATAAATCTACGATAAATAAATGCGCTATATTCTTATTCATCTTTCATTTTGAGAAAAATAATCTCGAGCTTTAGTCCTTTGCTATTTCTTCTATTTGTAAAAATTTATAAAGTTCATTAAGCTTTAAGTCACTTTAGGTACCAAAACAACTTAAACTTAGAACTTAAGCTTTTAAAGAAACCGCATAATTTAATTCAACCATTGGTCCTTGGATATTTCAACTGTTTGTAAAACGCAAACATTTAAAAACGGTTAATATAGGTGATTATTTGATGCGATGGCACGCACTGCTCAAATTATTTATGGTTATTTTAGTATAAGCCGCACAAATTTATATGTTTGACCTTTTTCCGTGCAATTGCAGCTTGGGATAACGAGCCGGGACAGGCAGAAGAGGACGACCAACCCAGATTTGCAAAGTTCGTGCCATAAATCTGCAGTTTGCATGGAATTAATACCCAATTAGGGTGAGGGCGGTAAAGGGAGGTGTAGCACATGCACATGCAACACACATTAGTGGGTCACTCGAAGATGATGACGCTGCTGACCGAAACAGCCACAACAAGAACAACACCAAGAACAAGAACAAGAGCCACTAGAGTCGGGGTAAAATTATATAAAATTATCATGCAGGGCAGGCAGTTGGCTGGTTGGCCACTTGAAAGCGGCAGGCGGGCCTTGGCTAAACATCATCATCAGCAGCAGCAGCAGCAAAAGCAGCAGCGACCGGCGACGTATACGTAATGTGCGCCATGACGTATACGTAATGTGCACCAGGGTTTGGCCAATTTGTCCAAGCAAACACTAAACCACTGAGCCAAAGCAGAAACAAAAACAGAAACTCGAGCTGAACTGAAACACAAAACTGTTAACGACATCAACGAAACTTCTCGGCCAAATGGCGAAAGTTATCAAACAATTGCGAATTCGTTGAGAAGACCGTGCAGCCGTTGCGAAAATGACAAAATGGCGAAGTTAACGTTGCCTTGTCTACTGCGGCGACTGCAGCTGGTGGCGCTGCAACTGCAACTGCAACCACAACAACGGGAACCGGAGCAACAACATCAGCATCAGCAGAAGCAGCAGCAGCAACACCAGCACCAAAATCCACACGGCTGCCACTTGATGGCCATGCAACTGGGCCAGGCCATGCTCCTCTACGGCAGCTGTCTCCTGCTGATCCACGCCTCCGTATCCGCCTCTGTCCTGGCCTCGTCCTCGGACTCGGCTGCCATCCCGGTCCAGGTGAATCTCTCCTCCGCGGTCCACGCCTTGGAGGGATCTACGCCTCAGCAGGAGCAACTCGAGAAGCGCACGCGGAAACGTGATGCCGCCAATGTGCCTGAAGATGACGAATATGGCAGTTATCCGGACGACGTCGACGACTTGGAGGCCTTGCTTAATAATAAGTCAGGTGAGTGCTCAACCGATACACACACATATAGTAAAACTAAAATAATTGCATAGCAAAATCAGTAATTTTTCGAATAATATAGTTTTAAATTAAAGTGCCCATTTTACAATACGTTATGCTATAAAAACAGAAAAAATTGGATCCGTGAGATAGCTGTAAAAAATCTGTATAGTTTGAATATGTAATTATTATTCAGAATTACCAATTACAATTGAAAACAAAACTCATTTACCAAAAATTACTTACCTAACTTCTTGAGAAAATTAAAGATAGGAAATATAAGCATTGATAGAGCATTATATTCTTTTATTTTATTCATTGTTCTCCAAAAGCATTTTAAATGCCCCTTTTATTAAAATTGTATTAAACGTGTCTTAAAATATGAATGTAAAAGTATTTATGTATATCTACTAAATAAAATGTTAATTAAGCCACCAAATTCTCCCAACAGCACTTTGTATTCAAATCTAAAGTGTTCATCCCTATTTTTCATTTATTATTTAATTTACTTATTAATTCAAGTTTTTGCTGTAAAAACTTATCTGTGCACTCCTTTGTATAATCCCATTTGGTAAATGAATATTTGTGGCTGCAGTGGCAAAGGCAAATAAATGAAAATTGTGTTGATAATGCACTTGGCTAGGGCTGCGTTTCGTTAGTTTGCATTGACCTTTGGTCAGTGCGGAGTCCCAAAGCGAGTACCCCAGAGACCATGAGAGCCATAAATTGCACAACACATCCAAATCCCTTCGCCACGCTGGTCCTTCGTTGTTGTTTAACTTTTATTTTTGGCATGCCCTATCCACCTGGCACTGCATCTGCCGCAACAGCTGCAGGATTCGCCTCTTCAGTGGAGGTCCATGCAACATGATTCACGGATTCATCCATTTTATTTTGGCCATGATGCGGGAATTACAAAATACCACAACAAGGAATGGTGGCACACAGAAGGTTGTGTTTACTGTGTGGCGAGTAAAAATCCCTTGGATGTGCGAACAGATAATATGGGATTTTAATGGAATTGAATTGAATATGCTATTTGTAATTAAAAATCAATTTCCAAATGATAACCCAAAGATGAATAGCTTTTTGTGAAATTCACAGAACATGCCTTTCTCCAGAAATATTTGAAACACCTCATTATGGTAATTAGTTAAAAATTTGTACCAGAAAATAATATTGGATTTTAAGAGGAGTGCATTTAATATGTGAACACACGATTTAATAATTTACGATTGAGTTAAAATTATTGAAAGCTTTTTGTGAAATTCGAAGAACTTCCCATTTGTCCAGCAATATATAAACACCACATTATGGTAATTAGTCATTGTATGTGCCAAAAGATAATATTGGAGTTAAGGAGAAGTGCATATAAAATGTGATACACACAATTTTGATTTACGATTGAATTAAAATTATTAAATGTAAAAGGAATTTGTGCCCATTTCGCTAAGTACCATTTGATGATATTAAAATATCAAAACATAAATTATAGATGTGTGAAAATTTCTATAAATATTTTTAAAGAAACCGAATACAAAATATATTTGTTTAACAGCCATATGTTTAAGAAGCTGAATCACTAATTAGTAGACATACATTATATAATATATAAATTATGATTGATTTTTTCTTAAATGTATTCTTTTGTTAAGCAAATTAATTTATCGTGCAGCCTTCTGTTCATTTTGATAGCCTCACATTGATTTAATTTGCGTTTCGTGGAGCTTAATTGTTAATGCAAATTGGCTTTGCGCATTGCAGCTAAGGGGAAATATATTGGAGCGCCGTGCAACGAGCTGAAGTGTGACGTAAAGCTGCTGCATGTGTCCTGCGACAAGGAGTCACAGACCTGCAGCTGCGAACGCAATTATCCCGTGCAGCTGGGACTGATAAAGGGTTGCGCCAAACGTAAGTTGTTGCATTGACACAATGGTTTTTCCCCTTGAACTGTATATATTCCTCCCTTGGCAGCTAAAAAACTGGGCGATCAGTGTTTCTACGACGAGACGTGCATCTACAACGACGAGAACTCCCTTTGTGTTCAGGTGCGGCACAATGCGATGTGCCAGTGTGCCAGCGGATTCCACTCCGTAAGCTATGTGAAGCCAACGCGTCGCATCTTTTGCACTCCAGGTACTGGTCCCATAATAAACTGAGCACTTGAGAAATCCAACCAATCCAAGTTCCATAAACAATAGTTTGGAAGAGATTTCTTTAGCACCACGATTCCTAAAATCCAGATTTTTATCAGTGCATTTTTGAAAGCATGCTTTATGAATGTAGATCATTTAAAGTTAGGTTTCATTTTAATTAAAATTTTTATTTTAACGTTGATAAATTTGTGACGCATTTTCATATTAGTTTTTCTAAGTTACCGATCACATGTTTAAAGATGATCCACAATTGGACTTCTAGAGTCTATAACTTTACCAAGTTGAATCCGATTTCAAAGTGACATACCGCTTAAGAATTGTGGTTGTTTTCTCATAAATTCGTTAATTTTTATAAATTTTTGTATCCTTTTTCATGTTAGTTATTTCTAAATTTCCGATGACTTGTAAAAAAGTGACCCAAAATTAAACTTATTCAGTCCACAAATTAACAAATTTTAAAGTGACATAGCTTTTGAAACTTGTGGTTTGATTCTCTAAAAATCTGCATTAAAATTTTTAATTTTAACGTTGATTACTTTGTTGACCCATTTTTATGTTAGTTACTTCTAAGTATCCGATGACTTTAAGTCAACTTCTTAATAATTAAGAATCTTTTCGTAGATCTCAGCGAACTGAGTTCGGACCTGCCCACTTTGCTGGGCGTCTCCACGGGGATCGCAGTTCTGGCCGGGCTCATCTGCATGGTGCTGCATCTGTTTAGCAAGACGAAGTATCCACGACATCGAAACTACGGAGACGCCAGCATTCCGCCTCCCATTCTGTACTCCAGCGATACAGGTGAGTTGTTACCAATCCGGATTCGTTAGATATTAGTGGCTTATTCATTGGTATTAAATTAATAAAATACATATTTTTTAATAGAATATTTTCAAATTTCACTAACAAATAATCATTTTATAGAGTTTATTTTCTCTTTTGATAATCTTTATTTTTAGTCCCTGCTTAAAGCATAATTGTCAATCATCCTTTCATTACAATTTTTAGGTACCATTTGTATTGAAAGTAATATTATTGCATTTATGTTAACACCTAATATTACGTACAGTTGCAATCTATTTGTTTTTAGGTTTTTCAAAGGGTTTTAAGGGTTCCTATTTATTTTATTCTACTCATGGATCGATTGCCTTGATTTCAGGGATACCGCTCACCGTTCACTCGGGGCGTCCGTCGTCGCGTTCCAGCATCCGGTCGACGGGATCGATAGGCTCCTTTGGCAACCGACGCGCTTCGGCCGGCGGACTGGGCGGGACTGTTGCCGGAGGAGGCGTGGCTGGCGGGACCGTCGGAGGAGGCGCGGCAGGAAGCGGCGGCTCGAAGGGCATCCTGGTGTCGACGTCTCGAACAGGTGCGGCTAGATCGGCCGCCATATTGCTCATATCGTGTCACATAGCGGCGGTGTCCAAACAGAATTCCCGGGCCTCGTCGCGGCACACATCCGGAGCGGGCTGCAGCCAGCACTCGCGGGACGACCTTGATGATGGTGGTGTTGGAGGTGGTGGTGGGAGTGGGAGTGGTTGCCGCAGCTGCGAGAGCACGCTCTCGATGAACCGCCAACTGCAGAAGCAACTTAACCACCAGCGGCATCTGCTCAGCTTCGAGCTGTCGCCGGCGAGGTCAAGGAATCAGGATAGATTTAGGACATTGTTGGGCATGAATGGCATTGACAATTTTGGGGGCAATGAGGAGGAGGACGATGAGTGCGGTCCGCATAGCATAGAACCCAGCACAACAGTCCCTCATGCACATGCCCATGCCTACGATAGCGATCCGGCTGATCCAGGTGGTGGTGGTGGTGGTGGCTTCGGCCTCGGCTACGGCTGCGGACATGTCGGTGTGATTGGTGGTTACGGCGATGCCGACACCAATGGCGGCGACTCCAGCGGCGGATTTGCCACTGGCGCCGAGCTGCACCACCTGCAAATTGGCGCACTGCCCACGCCGGCGAGTGAAACGCCCCGATTTGCGGTAAATCAACTCAAACATCAGTCATCCCAGCATCCATTGTTCGATCGTGTGGTCTGCTCATCCCCATCCGCATTCCGTATCGCCATGTCCATGTCCATGTCCAACCAAACAGCTCCACATCACAACAGAAACAAGTTCATCTATGTGCTATTCGTATCTGTTCAATCGTTTTGCATCCCATCCCGTTTAGAGATACTTCAAAGTCTGTGCTAGCCCTTAGTTTATATTGTACTCTTCCAGATCTTGTCATTGCAGTCAGTTGTGTACGAACTTCAAATTGTTGGTCAATTTGTTATTTTAAAATAACTCATTTATGATTTAGTCTCTCATTAACCAAAAGACTCCCATACAATTTAATTCATTATATTATTTTTACTATTTGAATTTCTATCTAAGAAAAATTAGCTAAGAATCTCAACTCAATTACAGTTTTTGGCCATTAGTTTATTAGTTATGAAAATAAGCGCTATAGAATACCAAAAACTATTCTTGCAGTTTAAATGAACGGTTAACATAAAAATCAATTTGTGATATGAGTAAGCATTCCTTTAATTTACACTGAATCCAATAACTTTGTTTAAATGTTAATTGTTCATTAACAAGACATATAATTTAATAAATTTCTATCATTCATTTAGCTACTATCAAATTCCTTCTCCGCATAAATATCAGACTCTGTATTAAAATCATGTCTCATGAGCCATAATTAAATCTCGCAAATTGGATTATTCATGCAATCACATATCGTTAATTCAGCTCAGTTTAATTACAGTTGGAAACTTAATTTGTGTACATTGGCGTTGGTTATCCCTATCCCCCTGCTTGTCTAAATAGTGTTTTTATTGACAACTCTGTCTAGTTAAATACAAAAAACTACAAACCAATTTTGTGTTTTCTTGATGATTGATGTTTTATGTGCTTCTGAGCCCCTCTGTTTCCAAATACAAAGTTGTTACATTGTTTTAATTTCTCTATCGTTACCAAAAAAAAAAACACAGACACACACACTGCGATACACACACGCGCACTAAGCCACCAAATAAATATAGAGTTTATATTTAAACCAATTTAACAGACCAAAAGCTATATATAAAAACTGAGAAGAGAATGAAACAGAAACTCGCCTCAGGTTTATAGACACCATTTGATAAGGAATAATTGTTAAAAGCCACAGATTCTAAGGATGATCAAATATATATTTCGACAAGATGATATTGAAGCAATATGGCGGTGACTATGTTCATAGACAATTCTCCCTAACTTCCACAAAAAACAAAGTAATATTGCATAACCGTACACGATTTTTTAGCTAATATATTTAACTATTGCAAATTAAGAAAATTATGCCACATACTCACATAGATACACCACACACAAATACGATTGCATGCCACGATTGCATCCTGCCAGCAGCAAAGGACACTTGTCTGCCGCCAGGATTCTCCACGTCACTCAACCTCCGGCTGACCTTTTGCCGGTTGAGTCCCCAAAGTTTCCACACACTTTCCACACACACACACACACGAATCGATAAACGATATGAAAATTTTCTTCTATATATGTTAATCCTGCAACTTTATATGTGAATGTCCTGCGCTTCTTCCTCTTCTTCTAAATCTGCTACTTTCTTCTTCGCCTTGAATTCTGAACTGAAGATGACTGCATTTTGAAACAAACAAACTTTTCTTTATGAATTTCCTTTTTATCCTCATTCTTATCTTAAAGACTAGTTACAGGATATTTGGAAAGTTATGTGAATTCAGGAAAAAGGTCAAGAGTTTGTACTATTTGGCGTATGAGTAACATTCGTATACGTAATATTCTTCGAGTTGACGAAAGTGAATTTATAGTATATATTGGCCTTAAGAAGGCGGTGACTGAATTTATAAATACGTTAAATATTTTTCTGTGTTAATAACTCTTATTTTAATATGGATATTTCAGTTAAAAATTGTTATCGGTATTAAAATCAAGATGGTATGCTATATGGAATCTTTGAAGACTTGTTATGATTTACGAGTATAATTTAGGATAAGAATCGGGAAACACTATTTTACTCACTATAAAAGATAAAAAAGGTTATATTTACTTACCCTTAATGAGGTTTTATGAGTCGGAGTTAGAGTACCAAAGAATTTTTAAAATTTCTTAACGTTATATGGCTGTTCAGGAGTCTTCCGCTGCTCGCACTCGCTTAATTTGCTTTCCAAACGCTTCGGAATGATCTTTCGCTGTGGCTATGCATCTCTGTCTCCAGTCTTTCTCATATACTTACTATCCTTCTCTTCCACGCCGTTTCTTCTAACCAAAACGCTTCGATACTCACTCAGTTTAAATACAGCAATCCCATCCGACAATACCCCTTATAGATTCTCCTGGCTGACACCTATATTTTGGTCTCTTCGCTTGTAGGTTCTCGAAGACCAAGTCTAGCGTCGGTGCACAGCACCAGTTCCTCGGTGCGCAGCTACAGCATGATGCGCTTCGAGAAGGAGACGCAGCAGAAGGAGATCCGGCAGGAGATGAAGCTGCGGCTGGCCCGCCTGCAACAGCAGCAGCACCTCACGCAGAACAAGCCGCAGATCGTCATTGGTGAGGCACTAATGCAACATGGCGCCCTCAGTCGCGTCACCATGGCCACGCCCAGTCCCCTTACGCCCAATTCATTGGACGAACTGCTGCCGTCCCTGGATGAAAATCAGGAGGTGAGTTACTACTCCTAAAAGTCTTAGGTCATACATGGTGCCAATTACCCTGCAAACAGTTATTATGCTGAAGAATTCGCGGCTTAAGTTGGTCAATTATTTAAACAAATAACAAGGTTTTTAAATCTCTTTAATTATTGTAATTTGCAAGCAAAGTCATGATTCTTTTGTGCTGAAGAATTCGCGGTTAAAGTTAATTCGTTTTGAAGATTTTAATGTCCCTAAATGGTTTTAAATAAGGGACATATCCTTTAGTGGCTTAGTTTGGGGATTGGTATCAAACACAGGGGGATATAATATAATGAATAGTAGGTCCCTAAAAACCCAAAATCCTATTTAATTACTATCTTATAAAGGTTATTATTATTTAACCTATCAACAGTATCCTCCCAGGCTGGAAACGACGTTCAAGCATCTTATACAGCCTCAGGTTGGAGGAGCGAGTGGATCCTCCGGAGTTGGGGCCGCATTGAGAGCAGCTGCCTCCCAGTCATCCCCGGAAAGTTCGAACGGATACCACGGACCCTGCAGCTCCTCGACTGAGGCGCTCTAAAATTAGTTTCAGCATAAGTAGGCCTGAATAGTAAATTAGATCGTAAGTAATCGAAAATTTCTCATCTAATTTGCGTAGAAGGCAAGAAGTTGCGTTAAAAGCCCGTTGCAAATTAAATTGAATTCAAATTGAACGTCAAACGTGTTGTAGACAGCTTAGATTATGTGTAACATAGTAAGTAAACCAGATAGATTAAGTCTAGAACTAATACTAATAATAATATGAATAAGTGAGTTCTCAAATTAGACAGCCTTTGTGTGTATCATAATACGTAGGAGCTAATCGAAACATTTTATACGTGTGTGTATATTGTCATACAATTTTTGTAGAAGTTATACAAGCGAAAATCCAGCTAATGAGAAAAGGCAGGCCAGGCCAAGTGGTCGGGGGATTGAAAGGAAAGAGCATAGAGCCGGATTGTAATTGCTGCTGAAGAATTGATATACCACTTGGCTTTCATTTATTTAGATCAACATGAATTGATTAGCGTAAATTAGTCTAGTGTTTATCGTTAGTGTGAGATAGTACTGATAAAATATACGCAAGATGAATTTATACAAAATCGGTTTATACAACAGTAGTTTCTTGTACATTGTACTCACGATGATAACTGTATCGGAATATGCCAGATTGTTCTAGCTAAATCAATAATTATGTTAAGCCATCGCCACGAAATAAATCAAAAGTGTTAATAGATCCAACTAAGACAATGTAAGTGAGGCGGTAAGAGATATTTTGTTCTTTGTAGGAATAGGAGTCTCTAATGCATATTCCGAATGCTGGAAGTGCAAAGTCAATTTTAGTTTACGACTTACGAATTTTTCTACAGAGGCGTTTCAAGTGAATACAATAATCGAAAATGTGTAGATCAAATGTACATTACTTAATCGGTGGTAATATTGTTTAATATTTGATACCAAGGTTGTTGACTGTAGTTGATGTTCTCTACATCGTTTGGTTCCATGATTTATTGTATCCTATCTATAGATCCGTTCTCAATAGTACGAAATACAGCAGCTATAAAGATCGTTACATATACACCTATACAAGCATATACATAAGTGTATGCATATTTGTACTTAACTATGCTATACATACGATGAGTAGACACATATCTGGAGTTCAGTGTTGGTTGATGTTGGGAGTATATAGAAATAAATGCAATTTTGTGTTTTCAACTACTCGTCGTGGAGTTTTACTTCTTGAAGATTTTTTATTTTAGATGAAACCTCTGAACTTTTATTTTGATCTAGAAACATTTAAAACAAAATCGAAATGGGAAACTTTTATATATCTTCAACATTCGAAAATATCATTGGGAATTTAAGTCTTTGAAAAAATTGTATGATGCTTAAGTAGGGACAGGAAATTAATTTAATATAACTCAAAAACTCTTTACTGATGGCTTATGTCTTAGGTGATTGAACAGCCAGTCCTGTTTTATTTAGATATACAAACTAAAATAATTATTAATTAATTACTCAAACAAAATTTGGGACAAGTAAATTTTAATTGAGATTTTGGGGATACAAAATTGCTAAGATTTGGCTAAGAATTATCGAATTTCTAGGGATAACAACCAAATTTGAAACCACTTGGGGTGGAACCGAAAAACAAGTACTCCATTCCATTAATCAACCTCCTCGATGGTGGGGCCAGAGCCGCCAGTGGCACCCGAACTGGGGCCTCCTGTTGGGGGCGGTGGTGGTGGTGCCATTCCTGCGCCCTGGTACAGCCTCGTGATGATCGGGCTGCAGATCCTCTCCAGCTCCTGCTGCTTGTGCTCGAACTCCTGCCGCTCGGCGAGTTGATTGGCATCCAACCAGGCAATGGTCTCACTGGATCGCTGCTGGATGGTCTCCCGATCCGCGGGACTAAAGCGGCTACTCATTTGCTCGTCATCCAGGGTGGAGCGCAGCTGGAAACAGTAGGACTCCAGCTGGTTCTTGGCATTGATCCGGTCGCGTTGCTGCTCATCCGCCTGGCGGTATGACTCGGCGTCGTTGACCATCCGCTCGATGTCCTCCTTGGAGAGACGTCCCTTGTCGTTGGTGATGGTGATGCGGTTCTCCTTGCCCGTTGACTTTTCCAGCGCCGTCACATTGAGTATGCCATTGGCGTCGATGTCAAAGGTCACCTCCACCTGGGGCACTCCCCGCGGAGCCGGAGGAATCGCCGACAGTTCGAATTTTCCCAGGCTGTTGTTATCCCGAGTCATCGCTCGCTCACCTTCGAACACCTGGATGAGCACGCCCGGCTGGTTGTCCGCGTACGTGGTGAAGATCTGCGTCTGCCTGGTGGGTATGGTGGTGTTCCTCTTGATCAGCGTGGTCATCACCCCGCCAGCGGTCTCAATGCCCAGGGAGAGGGGGGTGACGTCCAGCAGAAGCAGATCCTGCACCGCTTCCGACTTGTCGCCATGAAGGATGGCCGCCTGCACTGCGGCTCCGTAGGCCACCGCCTCATCGGGATTGATGGACTTGTTCAGCTCCTTGCCGTTGAAGAAGTCCTGCAGTAAACGCTGCACCTTGGGTATCCTGGTTGAGCCGCCCACCAGAACGATGTCGTGGATCTGGCCCTTATCCATCTTGGCATCGCGCAGCGCCTTGGCCACCGGCTCCATGGTGCCCCGAAACAGATCCCCGTTCAACTCCTCGAAACGGGCGCGTGTCACCGAGGTGTAGAAGTCAACGCCCTCGAAGAGCGAGTCGATCTCGATGCTGGCCTGTGTGGAAGAGGAGAGGGTCCGCTTGGCCCGTTCACAGGCGGTTCGCAGACGTCTCAGTGCCCGCTTATTTTGGCCCAGATCACGCTTGTGCTTGCGCTGGAACTCCTGCACGAAGTGGTTCACCAGTCGGTTGTCAAAGTCCTCGCCACCAAGATGAGTGTCCCCAGCGGTGGCCTTCACCTCAAAGATGCCATCCTCAATGGTCAGCACGGATACGTCGAAAGTGCCACCGCCGAGATCGAAGATCAGGACATTCCGCTCACTGGTGCCCTGTTTATCCAATCCGTAGGCAATGGCCGCCGCCGTGGGTTCGTTGATGATGCGAAGGACATTCAAGCCGGCAATGGCGCCCGCATCCTTGGTGGCCTGTCGCTGGGAGTCGTTGAAATAGGCCGGAACCGTGACAACCGCGTCTGTGACAGAGCCACCCAAATAGGCCTCTGCCGTCTCCCGCATTTTGGTCAACACCATCGAGGACACTTCCTCCGGATAGAAGCTCTTGCGCTCACCCTTGTACTCCACCTGGATCCGGGGCTTCCCGTTCTCGGCGACCACCTCGAAGGGCCAGTGCTTCATGTCCGACTGGACGGTGGCGTCGTCGAAACGGCGGCCAATCAGCCGCTTGGCATCTGCAAGTCAGAATCAGTCGGTCAGAATCCAATGAAACAACATCAGCGCACTTGGACAACAGATTCGCTTTATTAGCTAACATTTAGGGCTGGTATAGGGTATGTGGGTGGTGTCGAGTCTGGTATTTGGATTTGTATTGCAATGTGTCTGGGCAGGTCTAGGCTTTCTAGACGGATTTCTATGCGGACCCTGAGACTGAAATGAAAGTACAAAAAGAGAAAGAAGACTCGCATTAGATCTGCTCAGCAAATCTCACGGATTGGATGGAATGTATTTAAAACGAAGGGACTAGAGACAAACGCTGAATAGTAGTTTTCGGTTTGGTAAATGTGAAACTGGTAAATTGTAAAAAAATATCTTTGAAATGTTAAAGTCCATGAACACTGCCATGAATAATAGGTAGTGTAAACGTTAAATTAAAATACTACAACTAAATCTAAATAGGCTTTTATAAAAATTAACTTTCAGACTCGAAACTCCCTAACTTAAAGCTCTCGAGATTCCAATATTCCATTTCTTTATACTCTTCCGATCAACTCTAATAAAAATTTCAATTCTTTTGCAACAAATATATCGTTATCTCGTTTAACTTATTTTTGCTATCCCTAATTTGTTATATCATTCCATTCTAGCTCCGATATTTAGAAAACCTACTCGACAAAAATCTGAGAAATTCCACAGCCAACATGAACAATATTTATGCGAAAGCAAACGCTTCTGACAATCCATAACAACTTGCACTGAGGCTTATTTTCGTTTATTTGGCCGACACAAATGATGCCAATAAACATGGCAGTTTTTGTTGGCACGGACCGAACTTGGATGCCATTGGGACTCGGAGACGGCGACTGAGGAGCCGCATCATCGTCCGCACCCCGGGAGACGGGAAAAAAGGCCAAAGAACTGACACAACAAGTGGAGGTGTCACTTGACCAAATGGGTGGGGAAATATTCAGGAGGAGTGGATGGAGGCTGCAGTGGGAGGGATGGCGATGACTCTCTCGCATTGGGAGGAAAATGCAGTCACATTGCACACATTTTGGCGCCAGCGAGTGAGAATTTTCTTAAAATAAACCAAAAGCGAGATAATAAACAAAATGTGCGCATAGTTCATTCATGAAAACGTTGCCAGTAATTAGACCAGATTTTTTTGCGAACCCCAGGCAAAGATCGAGATAGCGAGATCTGTGGCAAGGACAGGAGACTCAGAAGACTCACCGAAGATCGTGTTGTTGGGATTCATGGCCACCTGGTTCTTGGCCGCATCGCCGATCAGACGCTCCGACTCCGTGAACGCCACATAGCTGGGCGTGGTGCGGTTGCCCTGGTCGTTGGCGATGATCTCCACCTTGCCATGCTGAAAGACGCCGACACACGAGTACGTGGTACCAAGATCAATGCCAACCGCTGGTAATTTGGGCATCTCGGCTGCGGCTTTAATTAGACGACACCACCACCACGTCAAAGTCCCACAGTCAGAGAGATCGAGAACGAGGCGAGACGAATGGGAATCGAAAATGAAATTAAAATCACAGTCTCCCCATTTTTGTTGATTACACAACGGAGTGGATGCGGATCCTCACCCAAATACCCCAGGCAGTCAGCGCTAGTCCTTTAGAACGCGAAACGATATAGATACAGGGAGATGATCAGGAACAGCAGTACGAAGGTCAGGACTCGGAAGAATTCGAGCGCCTTCTCTTTTTGCAGCTCCACAGCGTCTTCCGTTTGTCCTCACGTTGCCACGATGAAAACCAATCTGATCCTGCTCTCGACCTCGGTTTCTCTGGGTTCTTTCTTGGTCTGTCTCGGACCAACTATATCGATCGCTAATAGAGATTGCAAGATGATGCACGCGCCACGAATGCCACCAGAGAACTGGCAGACCGAATGTTGCGACAACCGATCCCTTGCCAAAATCGTTCGATCATCGACGATGCTCTGGCAACATAACATCGGTGCTCATTGGATATACTATATGGGATTCTGGGATTGATTAAGATTCCTCACCTGGCAGTTTGTTGTTCTACATCAAGTAACAATTACAGAATCTGATCTTTGCTGGTGAGAGTTGTCACTTCGTGCCAAAGAACTACGTCACCTAAAAACAAAAATAAAATGATTTATTATAAAAATTAATCTCTTAAGCCTGGTACTCTTGACCAAAGAAAATGTCTAAGCAGAAAAACAAAAATAGTCTAAATAAAAATAAAGATTAAACGTTTTGTTTTTGGCTTTAAAAGTAATTTTTTTGTTTGCTTAAAATATTAGTCAATAGATACCCTGCAATTTATTTATTGTTGTGTGCTACAATATTTATTTGTTAAAATTTAAGGAACAAATTGATTAAGTTTTTTTTACAATTAAAGCACTGAAATGTAACAGTCCCTAGTATAGTATGAGTCACTAAACACATTTAACTCAACAAGAATTGAAAAACTATTTTTTAAATCGCAACTTATTTGAAAGCCACAAATAATGCTTTAAAACATATGTTAAAAGACAAACTTAGAAAGTAAATATGCCAGTCAAAGTCAAGGGTGGGTAGTCAAAAAATTACTTACATCGATCTGAGAACAAATTGTTGTTTATTGTATTTATCTAAACATTAGTTACACAAACTACATTGGGTTGGCCTTGTGAACATATGTTTTTTACTTTTATTTCTTGGCATGCCCCAGGAATGATATAAATGTCCCAACAGAATCAGTTTTAATCATTAACTGTTTTGAAGTTGACCCACAAAGACAATAGCAGCAATGAAATACTTTGTGATCTGTGCCTTAGCTGCTCTCGTCCTCCTCCAGGCTTCATCGGCATTTAAGTTTAATCGCGTTATCTATGTCGTGCCAGCACCCGCTACCACTGCCGCCACCACGGTTGCGCCATCAAGTAGCCCCACAACCGCCGCCACCACTACAGCAGCTCCTGCCGTCGTTCAGGTAGTCTACTGCTCCTGGAAGAACAACTGGTGTCGCACCAACTCGAATACCGTAAGGAATTGCAAGTGGGGCCTCTGCAAGTTCAACGGATAAAAGACAATAAAAAAACGTTACCCATTTTTTAGCACAAATCTCTTGGTTTTTATTTGAAAGTCTGGCTTGGTCAAAAAAGAGACTTACTGGAACGGTTTCATTCTTAACTTGATACTGGGAAAACCACACGGATCTGACCCGCTGCTTTATAAGGCTCTTACGAAAGCGTTAGCAAAAATAATAGTCCATACTAATCTTAGTGGCTAACTAAATTCGATTCATGCAAATCATCACCTAATCGGGTTAAAGCTTAATGGGTTAGCGCTAGGATACAAAGTAGAGGCTTGGTTTGGATTAGTTGTATGAATATTAGTCAGTTGATGAGGGTGAAACAATACTTGACCCTTCGAGAGGACCTTTACAGATTAAACTAATACTACACTAGGGTTAAACAATGCGGACTAAACTTAACTTAGGATATGCATATGTGAAGCTTCAATTGATTGAAGATTTTAGGTTTATACTTTTCGCACAATGCGGCATAGTTTTATTAAGAAATTGTTCGTTGGTAACTAACAAAAGATTAGTTTAACTTTTCAATTTGGCAACACAAAAGTAACTAAAAACAGAATGTTCACGGATGATTTACAAGAATTTATATATTAGGTATATAGCACATAAGTAGAGCCAAAGTAGATATATTTCTTTAGGATACAAAGGGAATAGTCATATACTCTGCACCTCATGAAATTACGAGTATAATAATTTTCGATTTGGAGCTAGTAAAAACAAAATATAAACAGGTCATAAACCTTCTGGTCTAAGTATCTGATGAGACAATGTATATTGCTATCGTTTATTTTTGTTGTAATTGTATATATATGCGATAATATTAGATAATATTGTAAGTTCGATTTTTAACACGTTTCTCAATACTCTTATCAGTTACAATCAATTTTAGTTTTGTTTCTTTAGTTCCTTTTAATTTTTTTTTGTGGTTTCGTGGCCACTGAGCAGATCTTATTGTATGTTTTTGTTAATTATTAATATTTATTCGATTTGCTTGCTTGATTTGCCGCAGCACTCAATGCATCCACAAAAAATAACGTTCGTAGAATTTTTGCATTGATTTTACAAAAATATACAGCTATTATCATTTCTCGCTTATATCTTTCTTTCTCTTCCCTTCAATCGTTCGTTTTATTATGATTCGTAAGGCAAAGTTCGTGTTTATGTATTTGTTCTATATATATAAATGTAAGGAGTTTCTAAGAGTGTCTAATTGCTTTACAAGTCGCCCAGTTCTCGGTTTTTGTATCGTTCAACTAAATGCATAATTTTTTTGTAAATTTAATTCATAAACGTAATGCTAGTGTACCTAAGTCACTAGGCACGTGGAGCTTGTATGCGGGGATGATAAACACAATAAAGAGAGCTAAACACAAAGTACAAAAAGTGACAGACTGGTTTACGGGTAACATGGAAATTCGGTTGAGGCGGGGGGTGTGACATATGCAACTGGCGGCAGAGAAAGTAATCAGCTCTCAGCGCCTAACAATGCTAGAGGGCCTAGGGAGGCCGCTGCGCTTCATTTGCGAAGGTGGTCGCAAACCCGAGGGCTTGGGAATGCCAGTGGATCCCGTGGTCACCTGGGTCAGCTTGGAGGTCAGCGCCTGCATGTCGAAGGTCTGCTGAGGAACATTTCCGCCGTTTACCGGCCTACCGGAGTCCTTGTGGCCATATAGACTACCACGCGAGGATGCTGAGGAGAGGCTCTGGAATGGACAACGACGAGGTTAACAGGATTTTAAGCTGTGTAATTATTAACAACAAAGATAATACAATTTTAATTTCATTAATGACCCCCAAATTTACAAAAAAAAAGTCTTCCTTAATATTGATTCCAATAAACAAAAATAAATAAAGTTATCTTGACCAACCTCTGGGGTTTCCGCCTCTGTTGCCGTTTTAACACTCAGGCTGTAATACCCAGATGAAGGACGGGCAAGTCCATTTGATCCTACTCGTTTCCCACCAGATAGACCAGGACCCCGCAGTCCGCTGACCAATTTGGGCACTTTAAATACAGTAGAATCATCCTAAGAAAGTAAAAATTGATGTGTTAAAGAGGCTTTTAAAGAATATATCATGTACTGACCTCCTGGGCCTGCGTTGGTCCCCGCAATCCGCCCATCAGCTTGCTGGGCTGCGCGCCTGGTCGACGCAGTCCACCACCCAAGCTGGGTCTGGGGAGTGCTCCAGCACCAATGCCGCTCATCGTGGAGGACAAATTGTGGAACGATTTAGACTTGATGCCCATAGGGCTCTTCAGCTCGCCGCTACCCGTGGCCGGCACTGTGACAGTGGTTGGCACCGATGCGGCTGGAGTGGCATTCAGTCCGGCTCCGGCTGATGTGGCCTTGCTCACCGTCGTAAACTTTTGCAGACCACTGATGTAGCGAGGACGGGAGAGAGAGCGAGGCTGGGGAAGAGTGGAAACGGGCGCTGGTTCCGCTGGTGGAGGTGCTTCCTGCTGAAGCGGTCGTCGCTGAAGCAGGCTCTTATCCTTGGGTTTCTTATACGTCAAATAGTTACTTGCACTACTCTCTGCCTTGTTGTTAAATACAGAATTTTGGTCCCGACGAGACAGGCGACCTGGTGGGGAACCCTGCCGTTGCGGCTGCTCCTCCTCGGGATAAACCGCGTCCTCCAACTGTTGTAGCTCTTCCTCCAACTGCTGTGGCTCATCGTCTATACAAGGCACAATAATCTCTTGCTGCAGGCGCATCTCTTTCGAAATCTTAATGGTCTTGAAGCGATCTCGATCTCGCTCCCTTCTCTCCGGCAGCTTATAGCTAGACGGGTCAGTCTCTGCGGCCACCTGAGACCTAGTAGGATCCTCCGCTGGTTCGGGATCCGGTTCGGGTACCGATTGTTCCACCTGGGGCACGTCTCTTCGCTGAACAATGAATGAGGCCGAGTTGCCGCTGGCTGAGCTTACATTGCTGCCGTGCATAGCGCTCAGGTTGACATCGTCGTAGAGACGACTCCGACGACTGAGCAGCCGTTCACCACCACCGCCGCTACTGTTGCTGCTGGAGTGGCTCTGGTTAAGGACAGGGGTATCCACCTTTTCGGTTGCAGGCTGTTGAGAATGCTGCTCCTCTTCCCGTTCCTCTGGCTCAGGCTCATCTCTGTGGAAGCGCCTTTTGATGGTTTCCAGCGACTTTTGCATCTTCAACTGTTCCTTGTTCAGCGTATTGACCTTGCCCAACTCGGCAAGCATATGCTCAAATTGCTCCTCGTCGCCCTGCTGAGCCAACAACTCCACCTCCGCCTCGGCCAAGTCCATGACGCACTGCATCTGCTTGTGCTGTTCGGACATTTGTAGGCTGTAGGTGCCATCCAGCGGCTGTTCGATCTGCTCTAACAGTTCCATGGTGTCCAGCACAAACTTCTCCCCATTGAATGGAGCTGCTTTTGCTGCGGGCTCGAAGGTGTTATTGAGTCGTCCCGGTGCTACTCCAGTTGGTTTTTGCGGCGTGGCGCCAACAATAGGGGACAGGTTCATATCCCCACGTCCCTTGAGGGTGGGCGTGTATCCCTGCTTGTTATTATTATTATTATTATTGTTGTGATAGCAGTGGGAGCGCATATTTGTAGTCAGTGGCGTGGAGGATTCCATGGTGAGCAAGGCCAGCTTTCTATCAATATTCTCAGGGGTTTCGCAGCGGCCCTCTGGAGTGTTGCAGCCGGTGTCGGTAAATGTGGTGTTCATCTGACGGCCTGTCAATAACTGGGTCTCATCCGCTGGAGCTACACCCGCATTGGGCCTCTTGAAGGTCGTGTTTCCATCCACAGGCAGGGGCTCGGACTCTGACTGCAGAACTGAGGCTGTAAGGCTATCCACCAAGTTAAAGGTAGTGTCGCCAATCATCTCCTCCCCCAGTATCATGGTACGCTGCAGGGCAGGGCAAACTACGGGCATAACTGCGTGCATTGTTCGATCAGCGGTCAAGGGAATGGACATACTGTCTGTGCTGTTGTCCATAGTGCTGCAGCCGGAGGCGGTTTTGCTCAGCGTCAACGATATCTCGTCAATCTGCCCGATGTGCGAGTCCTTGATTAGTGTGCCATCATCCTCGCACATGGTCAACGACTCCAGCGCCTTGCGATCCCGGATCATGTCGCTAAGCGTATAGCCACCCAATCCGCCGCCAATTCCCATGTTGTCTGTTGTTTGGTTAGTCAGCGTGGTGGTCAGACTGGGATCCTGCTCCATGCCAATTGTGGATTGGAGGAAGTTCAAGTTTGTGAAGTCCGCCGAGGTTATTAACGAGTTGTTCATCCGTTCCGTGTTCATGGAGGAGCATATGGAAGACGGAGGCGAGGTGTCCTGCAGGAAGGAATTGTGCATTTTTGTGGTGACCAGACCGCCAATTTCCAGCTGGAGCATAGCCGGTGTCCCCGATACCGCTCCGGTGCCGACTCCGCTGGCATTTCCTGCACCATTTTGACTCTGTAAAAATATAAATGCCGATTATAATGATAAATTATTGCAAAATGCTCATTTACACTTACAAAATCGAGATTCCGACGCTTGGGGCGGGTAAAGGTCTTCGAGTTGTTTTTGAAGGCTTTCGTAAAAAATAAAGTTTTATAGAAATTAGATTGTGGAGTTTCACACTCAATAAACTTATCAATCTACGATGCTTAACCTATTTGTGTATTTATTGTTAATGCTAATTGTTTTTTTTTTTAATTTTAAATGTTTATAAATCATCGTCTCCAAAAAGGACATCCTCATCAATGACCAAATCAAAAGTATCCTCATCGGATATCAAAGTATTCTCGATCTCCTGATCCAATAAATCGACTGCAGTGGTAACTAATGGTCCTACCGCAACCAGCGGTGGCATGTCATAAAATTTTTCATCGGGACGAAGGTCCATCTTGGCGACCGACAAGCTAATATTCTGAACAGCCTGGTTTAGAGGTTCTAACTCTACTGAAGGTGGGGCTTTCCTTCGAGGCTTTGGTTTGTTGACCAATTCCTTAAATACTTCGGCTGTAGGGTGAATGGTTTTGTCTACCGACTTATCGGTATTCGGTTGAAATTTGATATGTTCTTTTTCACCAGACTTAATCGAAGTTATGCACAGCATGTCATTGGTTATTAGCCAGCCTGGGCTATTGAGCAGACGCAGCACAAATGTGCGCTGAAACTGTCTAGGTTCCCAGCCGTCAGAGGTGTTCTCTTTTAAGTATCCCGTCAGCGTAAAGATGCGCAAATTCGTGTTAAAAACGTGGATGTCCAGTCCGGCGCTCTGGTGGTCTGTTTGCATTTGGGGCAAGCGACTAAGAGCGAGAAGCAGTGCTGCCCTGCCAACCTGTAGTTTAGCATTGTAAGCAAAGGAGGATTGGTGGCGCTTTTGGTTTCTATTGTACAGTTTGTAGGCGTACACATAGTCCAGTTGAACGGGCACGCTAAGTGAGAACATGGCCTGGTCATTATAGTAGTTCTCAAGTTGCGAACGTTTTTCGGGTTCGTCGAAACAATTGTAAAACGAACCAATGAAGCGATTGCAGAACTGCGTGCCCTTAGTTCCACCATCCTGAAGTCGTTGGAACATAGGAAGATTTTTTACAACCTCTAACTTGACATCACAGTGCGCACAGCCGTGGACGGTCTGAAGTTGTGGCAACACTTTTCGAATGTCGCTCAACTTAAGCTTGTCCACGCCGTTTCCTGCAACGTACAAAGTCGTGATTTTTAACTTTTCCAGGTATTTCAGTTCGCCCAAGTCCTTGATTCTATTTGCGCTTATATCCAAGCGCTCCAGGCTGACAAATTTGTCACAAATTCCGTCAAAGGCCTTCAGCGAGCACAAATAGTTGTTGGCCAGAACGATACCTGCCATTTGTGGAAAGACGTGGCTCGAAAGAACAAGTACGCTCTCCAGCATATTGACCACATGCAGTGGGCAGAAATGCTTTCCCAGTTCCGGGCTGGCGTGGAATCGGGAAAGATCCAGGGTACGGATAGCCGGCTCATAACGGGCGTTCAAAGCCGCCCTCACGGCAGTCGAAAACCTCTCGGATATCTCCGCGTTCATGACGGACATGGGCAGACCTGTTGTGACGGAAACCTCGATCTTTTGGCACGTGTAAAGGACGGCCACCTCCTGCTGCAGGCGTTTTAGTCGATTGGCGCTGAGTAGGTTGTCCACCAGGAACTGACCACGTGCCATGTTGTCCTCCGGTCCACTGCGCTTGAAATTGAACATCTCCACCCTTATGGGCATCAGCACCCACTTAAGAGCCAGGAAAATGGAAGAGTTGGACACGCCGGCGCAGTTGGCGATGTTCACCGTGGACCAGCCGGTGACGGTGGCCAGGCGGTGCTCCTCCTCATTGGAAGAGATTGTGTCCAGCACCGAGCCCATTTGCTGCTCATTTCCGAGCAGTTTTTCTACATACTGGCGAAATCGACTTTTGTCATTTAGGTTCTTTCGCAGATCGGTCAGTTGCGTTGTGGTATTCGGATGCGCCTTGAAGGTCACGCTTAGGCGGTTGCCCGTTGCACAGGGTTTGGAACTGCCCAGGATACGCATTGTGGCAGATTCACAGATTTATCAAAATCTTTCGCAAATATAAACTTCGCAGTAAAAAATGTTCAAGCACAATGTCAAAGAATTTACCGTTTTCCGGTGTTGGTTAGGCGCTGCAGGACGCTTTGACAAGTGGAGTTTTACAGCACTGACGCTGCTAACTAAAAGCATTTGGTATGTTTAGCAGTAAACATTGGATCAGTGATTTTCCCTTTATAATCACGTTTTTTTTTAAAGACTGATTTTCTATCAGACATCGTTTACGGCTTACGCACCAATCAATTAAATATTAAACGTTTACAGGAATGTTACGTGGATTGTGCGGAGTGGTCCGGTAGTTAAGTTTAATTATATGACTCTGCTATCCATTTAAAAAAACAGATGTGTCCGATCTAGCAAGGCTTGCATTATTCCCAGATACTTTTTTTTGTGCCTTTTACTCTTAAATGGTTTTGGTCTTTAGCCTTTGGTTAAAAAAGAAGGAATATACGCATCAGCGTTAATGCAATATAAAAAAAATAAATAATAAATATTACCGCAAAATGTAACTTCGAAGATCAACAGGCATGTTTACTAATTAGTAATTACTATATCATGAGCGTATAGGTAACAGACAACAAAAGGCTGGTATCTTTTTATCATTTAAGGCATTGACCAAAATACTATTCCATACGATTTTAAAATGGTGTTTTACAACGCTCATACGATGAATGTGTCAGAAGTCTTGTTTTAGTTACAGTTGAAATGATAGTTCCACTTCGAAAAATCATTAAGAGCTCAGCATTCCGTACGCATTAAATCACGGAATCGATTTTTGATCCTCTTCTGTAATTCGATAATTGTGGTACTTAAAGTGTTTTGCGTATCGCTTGATTGACTTTCGCTGGCTGGGTAGGAAGTAAATTGGATTTATATAATGTTTGCATATTATGCGAGATTCTTGCCTTATTAGCATAGCCAGTTTTTTGCTAACCACGCACAGCTGTTTGAAATGAGAGCGTGTGTGTGTGCGTTTAAGGCTTGATTAATTACCGTAACAATAACATTGGCGCTGTTGCCAATTATGGCAAACGGCCACTTGAAAGACAACGGTAGGAAATACTGGGTAAGTAATACTGCCCACATGCGACCCGAACTTTGTCAACGTAGCCGCCAGTTTAACCCAAATTTGTTTTTTTTTTTTAGAAAGCGCAACTGCACATTGCTGCATGTGTGTAAGTGTGATGATGGGGGTGTGGGTGCATCGGTATGCGTGGAAAGGCTTACCCTCGTTGTTGTACTGCAAGTGCAATTGTTGCAACGGCGGCTGATTGTTCGTCTTCCACTGCTGCAAAATATTGGAGACATCGTCGTGCGTCTTATCCGCCAGAAATCTGCCGAGGAATACCAGGCAATATGATTATTTATAGCATCGCTGTTACAGCAACAACAAGAGGGACAACATCAGTGCACCACTTACATATATGAATCATCCTTTAGTGCCTCATCGATGTCCAGGATATCCATGTCCAGCGATGGGTGATTTGAAACTTTACGCTTAGCTTAAAACACTTTATGAAGACCTAAATCATTGCGAGAAACGACAACAAAAAGGTCTTCGCTCGCTTGTCTGTTTGACCACCAATACGAGATACTAATTTTGCTCAAAGCTGATAGAGATGAGCGATATCGGCGAGTCCGTGACGAATCACGTTTATTTTTAAGTTATGAGTCACTGTCGTGACTGTGAAATCAAAAAAATACATAAACAATTACAAATTGTGAATAGTGCAAACAAAATTAAATTAAATACGCCTTAAACTGATTTATAATGACATATAAACTGTTTAAATATGACTTTTAAATTTAATATTAGGTTTTACGCCTCCAGTATGAAACGGATCACGTTTTCTAACCCGCATTACTGTTCACAGTCACAGTTTGTTTCACGATGTGACTAGAGATGTCAAATGGAGCAACTTCAACTATCGGTTAGTAACCGCAAGTAGATGACAACCCTGTTGAAGTACGTTCACATTGACTATTTGGCAGGAAAGTGCCCAACATTTCTTGGACTTTTTGAAATTTCGGCCTTTTTTGGTTGGAAGATCATTGAGAAAAATGGAAGAATCAGCGGACGCCAGCATGGAGAAGAACTGTCGCGCCTGCGCCGGACACTCGAAGATACTGGTGGACCTTTTCTCAACGGATATTTCCGATCCTCCAACTTGGAACATGCTGAACTCCATTCTGTCTGAGAACTGCAGCGTGAAACGGGATGCACTGCCTCAGAAGATCTGTCCTTCCTGCCTGGTGGCTGCCCAAAATGCTTACCACTTTAAGCGCAAGTGCGAGCAGAGTTTCCAGTACTTTTCCCACATCCTCCTGCTGGAGAAATCCGCTTCGAAAGCGCGTGGCAGAAAAGGGGAGAAGGGTCCTTCTTTAGCCTTCGAGATGGTGGGCTGTGAGGATCCACTAAATACAAACGTTATGGCGGATTCAGGAAAGGAGGAGGATCGACTTGATGTGAAAACGGATTACGATATAGAGCCAAGGGGGAAGGAGTTACCAATTAAACTACTTAATAGTCCACACCCGCATAATATTTTTGAAAGTAGGTTTATCAAAAATGATTTCAATTATGAATTTAATGTTATGTTTTAAACATTCAGTAACAATGAGCGACAACATAAAAACAGAAGATATTTCCAGCGGGGTGACGTTCGAGGATGCCTCTAAGGAAGACGATGTTAGTGAAAATGAAAGCGAAGACGATTCAGATGAGTGGTCAGCTGGCTGGACGGAAGACCAAGATGAGCCTTGGTTACCCGGTGATTTGGAGATGAAATCGGTTGACAACAAGAATCATTCCCTGCTTTGCACCGAGTGTGGAATGACTTGCAAGACGCAGAAGTCATTAGCGAGCCACATTGCCAGACACAGACAACAGGAGGATCCACAAAAGCTGCATCTATGCGACTTCTGCGGCAGGGGATTCCGGACTAACGCCCAGTTGACAATCCATAGGCGGAGGCACACCGGGGAGCGTCCTTTTCAATGCCCCCTCTGCACGAAGGCGTATACCCACGGTCCTACACTTAAGACGCACATGCTTACCCACGACGAGGAGAAGGCTCACAAGTGTCCGCAGTGCGATAAGACTTTTTACACGAGCTCCAACCTGAAGGCTCATCAGCAGTGGCACACGGGTGAGCGACCATATAAGTGTCCCGTTTGTCCACAGGCCTTCACCAAGAACTCCGGCCTTAAGTTGCACAGTCGGCTGCACAAGGAGGAGCGTCCCTTCAAGTGCGAGCTCTGCGGGAAGGGATTTGTCCAGAACCAGCACTTAGTGACCCACCTGCGTGTCCACAACGAGGATCGCCAGTTCAAGTGTCCCGAGTGCGACAAGTCGTTCTTCGAGAAATCCAACATGAAGAAGCACCAGCGAACGCACACGGGAGTAAAGCCATTTAAATGCGAGGAGTGCGGCAGTGCCTTCTCGCACAACCATCACCTAAAGAGCCACCTACGCATCCATACCGGAGAAAAGCCCTTCAAGTGCGACCAGTGCGGTAAGGGTTTCTGTGCGAATCAGTCTTTGGCAAAGCATATCCTTTGGCATGCGGAAATCAAGGATCGGCCGTACAAATGCCCTAAGTGCCCAAAAGCCTTTGACACTCAGCAGAGTTTACGAGGCCATGCGAAAGCGCACAGGTTACCGAACGAGCCGCCAAAGCTTCACAAATGCCCGCACTGCGACGTCAAGTTTGCGCTGAAGAAGACCATGGACAAGCACATTAGCAGTCATAAGATTAGACCCCACCAATGTCCGCATTGTCCAGAAGGTTTCTTCTCCCAAAAGAGCTACAAGAAGCACGTGCGAGTGCACAACATAAAAATATGAAAGTTAATGTTCGTTTTTAAGGAAAAAATATGCTATATGCTACTACCATAAGTTCAAAGCAACTTCCATAAATGTAGAATTAACAAAAAATTGAAATGAATTGTTTTCATTGAAAACAAAAAACTATTATAGGGCTTACTTCAAGTTTTAATAAGTATTTGTTTTAAATACACCTAAGAATCTGTTTGAAGAAAATATTAAATATTATTAATTTTAATACGACTATTAAAAAGCAGGGTTGTGGTATAATCGTAAGTTTATTGGTAAGTTATGTTATTTAAACAATCTAAAATTTCATTGTCCGTTCATTAAGGCAAGTTTTGTCTGTTGCACAGTTTTTAACATTTCCTGCGCCCCTTCCGATTGCCAGCATGATGAATATTTCTACTTGCTATAACATAAATGCCTTGCTTACACATTATATTTGCTTACGTACAGATTTTGATTTTCATTTCATTTTGATTTTGATGAATCGCAACATTTTCTCCCGAGAAAAGGAGGCTTCTCAAGCCTCCAACATAAAGGCGCGATATGTTTCCATTTTTTTTTTGATTATCAATTAACAATATAGACCTAAACGGACCCAACAAGTAACTCCACAAGTCCTAATAAAAACGTAATATGTCTGAATGGGTTTAGGTTTACTTGTGGGGTCCATAAAGGGGTTTAAGAACAATTCTGGACAAACTAAAAAGAGAGATAGAGGGCAAAGCGTTTGCTTAGACGATTTTTGTTTAAACATAGGTACGAGTACGGTTACAATTACAGTAATTACAATTGGTACAATAATCATATCGAATATGCGGTAAGTGTTTAAAATTAATAAAGCGTAATTAGATAGATTTCACTACGAACAGATGAAGGGCGATGCTCCCAGTATACAAATAACAATAAAGTACAATACCTATGTATATATGCCTAGGCTCTCCGATTTGTGTGTGGTTGGTTGTGTATAAATATAAATATTAAAAATATATAGATCCGTTCTACATCAAGAACAGGAGGGTGGCGTAGACCTTCCAGCGGGTCGTGAGGTTCGTCCAATTACCGCTGAAATAAGCTCCACAGCTTGTAGCTGGTCACGCGCTTGGCCAGATTGGCGGCGGCACTGCTGGGCGGTGGTGGGGCGGACGACTCGTTGGCCATTGCCCGCCGGTTGTTGATCAGCTTGGAACGCATCTGCTCGTCGATCAGCTCGTGCATGTCCATCTGCCACTGCTCCAGCTGCTGCGACAGCTCCACCTTCTGCTGAATGGACTCCAGCAGTTGGCTGTTGGCCTGCATCAGCTCCACCCGCGTCTTGGCCAGCTCTACCTCGGCCTTGGTACGACGATCATTGGCCGCATCCCGCTCTGTCTGCGCCTTGGACAGCAGCTCATCCCGATCCGTGTTGTCCTCGAGATCTCCCCGAGCCTGATCCCGCTCCTCCTTGACATTCTGCAGCTCCACATCTGTCACCGTGACCTTGGCCTCCAACTGCTGGATGAGCTGGTGGCTGCGCTTGATCTCGTCCTCCTGCTCGAGCACCAGGTTGCGCGTCTGGTCCAGCATTTTCTTGAAGTTGCCGGCGTCTAGGTTAAGCAGCAGCCGGGTCAACTCGTCGGACATTGACGAAAGCATTCCCTGGCGGAACTCAATGGCCAGGTGACCATCCTCGTGGCGCTCCGAGCTCGAGATGGTGTTGTCCATCGACTCCAGCTCCAGCGATATGTCGGAGTTGAGACCTGGAAGGAGAAATGCCTTTTTAGTATGGGGTTCCTTACACTTTCGTATGTAATTACTAAAGTTTCCAAAATTAAAAAAAAAACTTGATCAAAAAATATCTTTCAGAACAAATAATATTTTTTAGATCAATATTTTTCATTGTTAAAAAAATAATATACTATAAATTGATTTAATATTGTTGAAGCTATCCTTGAAAGATCTATTTGAAAAGTATTGAAATAATATTCATAATAATCGGCTAGTATTTCAATAAAGTTTACCCATAGTTTGATATTTATTAAAAAAAACTCTTTAAGTACCCACCTGAGTCATCATCATGGCTCACTTTCAGGGAATCCACAAGGGACTTAAGTTGTATGTAGACAGATCGGGCCTCCACCCACATGTGGTTCGGTTTCCCCGTTTCCGTGTAGCTGCCATCATCCTCGTCGCACTCCATTTCGAATTGCAGACTTTTCCTGCCCGGCGTGCTCGAGTTGGTATCCTGCGAGGATTTAAAAGTGAATTCATTTATAAATCAATGTCCAGATGAAAGTTGGTCTGGATTTTTTCGGTGTATACCGATTGATGTAAGGGGAAAATGCTTGTTGATAATGCACAAATTTAAACAATTTCCTTTTAAGCTTAATTCGAATTTATGGTTAGTTATCCTTGAGGAGCGCAGAATGATTGGTTAGTAAATGAGGAATTATAAATTGAATAAAGGGACAACTTACGGCACCCAAACGTTCACTGAGTACATTATTTTCGCGCTGGGAGCGTTCCAATGCTTGTAAGGTAGTCTGAAAGAAAACGATTTAAAAAACATTAGATATACCGGCAATAATCCGTACATAAATAATATTTGGTAGATTAACCAATTTTATTTGCTATGTCCATTTATATTTATTTTTCCTGACTAATTTTCAATTAAAAAGTACTCCCCTTGTAAAAGGTAATATTAACTTCATCTAAAATATATACATACATAGTTTTGATTTCCAAATATTTCTATATCATTCCAAAATGTTTTTTCACGTTTAAAATTGATAAGATACCTTTTGGAAGGCTTCATTAATGAATACATGTTAAATAATATTTATAGAATGGAGTTTAATCTTTGCTCATGACAGAGAAAAAAGAAAGTTGTTGCCGGGGAGATAAACCTGGACTAGGCACTCAAGAAACTGCGCAGTTGGCTCCGCTGGCCCATAAATAATCTTCAGTTGGTGGGTAAATCACGATTCCGTTGACGCGACGTGATAAAGCCAATTCTGATGTTCCTCCTCCACCACCTTTTCTTTTTAAAAACTGTAGCTGACTTACCTCTAATTTTGTTTCCTGCTCGCGGGCATGGCGCTCTAGCATGTGGATTCTGTCGGAGGACTCCTCGAGCGACGAGGTGAGGTTCTCCTTCTCCTCCTGGGCGTGCTGCAGTCGCCGCTCCAGCTCCTGCCGCTTGCCCGTGGTGAGGTTGAGTTCTGTCTTAATGGATTCCAGGCTGTTGACATGTTCCTGCAGGAAAATTCAAATTCAATTTAACCCACATTTTTAAAAAGTATTATGATTAAGTCTAATATTAAGATACTTTAATAAATGTATTATTATTACTAATTCTTAAGTGCTGATTTTACTATATACTAAGAAAACTAAAAAATGAGTCAAAGCAATGTACTACCTAAACGATTAGTCTATTCCATACACAATGTTACCTAAACTCATTTTCAAGATTATTGTTCTTAAAATTTTCTACATTTAGTTTTAGTGGTATTCTCTGAGTATAGAAATGAATAACAATTTGCCAATCGACTCAAACAAAATTAAGTTGGTGGAGATTATAAATCAGAAAAAATATTATTTTGGGACTAATATTGCTGTTATGAAGTCTTAAAATTTGTTTTTTTTTTAAAGAATAAACAAATGTATTTAATCTGGAATATAAAACCCACCTGCAGGCTGCTGTTCCTGTAGTGATACTGGTCCTTCAGCTCCTGGATCTGTGCGCTGAGCTTGAGCTCGGTGGCGTGGGCCTCCTGGATCTGTTCGGTGAGGCGTGTGTTCTGGTGCTGCAGCTCGTCTATGAGGATGGTCTTCTCCTTCTCCGCCTGCCGGATGGCCGTGTCCTGGGTCTGGAGCTTGTCCTTCAGTTCGGTAAGATCGGACTGCAGCTCGAGGACGCGCTGATCGCTCTCGTCCTCGGCGATCGCCAATTTCTGGCGCAGCACATGCTTCTCCTGCTCGAGTTTCTGCAAAAGGGCAAAAAGGAAAGTTAATTGTGTGTGCATACAGCGGTATTGTTAGTTCTATGACGTGTTGTCAATTATATGGCATTCAAGACAATGAAAGTAAAGCTAAACAATGGGCACGTACAGGCACAGTACTCGACGCCTGGAAAACCGCAAGGTTAACTTGGCTCTCAGCACTCGACTACTAATTGTTTAGTTATTTGCATTTTCAATTGGCTGCAGGCCGGCTAAGATGCAAAAAAAATACAAAAGAGTTGCCAGTACCACCTCTCACTTAGTTTGCCTTTTGCACAAATTTGCCCCACTGTGCCGGCGGCCAAAAACTCCCAAGCCCCAAAACAATGCCAACGACTTTTGACACCAACGGCTGCAAAGCCACCCGTCAAAAGAAACAAATTCCCATTATTCAAATTAAAATGCAATTGAGTTTTCACTTCTTCGCTTTGCTGAGATGTGGTTTGCAGACAAATGGATGGTAAAAATTAAAAGCGCATCAAACCAGCAAGCGTTTGGGAGTTTTCAGTCAATTGGGGAAGCATTTGATTTAAAGACGATTGTAAACATTCTTCAATGTTGTCTTCAATCATCATCTTTTAATCGACAGTAAAACAATAAATATTTAAATTGTTTTGCGGAATAAAAAGTTGTAATTGCCTTTCTTTATTATATTCATAAAGCAATACAAAAATGGCGGAGCACTTCACTTTAATATTAATTGATTTGTTTATAATTGTTGTGATGAATGTGTTGTACTAAAAAGATTTGATTTTTATTGAAGCAGTTAAAAAATAATGTTGCCACTTTAATTAAAATTTTAATTTTATTTTTAATTGCCATATTTATGCAAGACTTATTGTAATTAGTGTGTCCCAACTAGTTTATTTTTATTGAAAATAATATATAATTTAAGTAGTGATATCAAAACACAGAACGTGAAAAAATTGAACTAGTATTTAAAAAAGAAAAAAAAACATTATTATAATATTCTCGCTTTGATTTATTAGTTAAATAGTTTAAATATTTAAAGAGCTTTTTTTATAAACATTACAAAAAAAGCAGTAATTCTTTTCGTTTTTGCATTATTTAATTGATTTTTTCATTAAATTAAATCAAAGGTTTTTCAGATCAATAAGTCTTGGGCCAAAAGTGATCTAAGTCAGCTTTTCGAATGCCACTTGGACTTATCGGCGCGAGAAACGGCGGCAATTAATTTGCATAATTGACAGGCGTGTGTCAGTCCTCGCCAGGTATTTAGGTATATATGAGTAAGCGGCGTTTGCTGGGGGCTATTGTGTTTTTATAACCCGACCTTTTTGGATCAAGGTTTGCGGAGACATTGAAAATTGCATGCAAAGTTTAATCGATAATTGGACCTTCAATTGGCAAACACTGGCTAGCACTGGCAAAAGGTATGCAAATAAAAACGTAAAGAAAATAAAGCCGCCGATAGAACTCGTCAAGCCTTGTAACCAATGCAGCTTCTTTAATTCAACTCAAAACAAACTCGGAAGGCGGAAAAGCAAATGCGACCACGTATCGAGCTGGGGAAAATCACGAGTTGGCAATAAATCTGAGAAGTCAACGCGATTGCTTTGGCCTATCAGCGAAACAACTCGAAAACCAAAAAGAAACAATACAAGAAATAAACAACAACCTAATAAATTGGAGCGACAAAACTGTAAATGAAAAGCTTAAATAAAATTACGGGCAATTTGCATAAAACGTAAAAGACGCCAACGATGCCGAAAAAACCACAAAGTAGTTGTCGCTGCACAAGCCCAAAAGCAAAAGGAAAACTGCAGCAACTAGCAACAATGGAAAACTTTAATAACAAAACACAATTGCAGCCGCAGAGTTGGACTTTTAAAGTCAAAGGAGACTGCGCAGCCAGAGATAAAGCGAATCACAAATAAAATTATTGTACATATTGTACTTTCTCTGTTTCTATTTCACGCTCAATGAAATGTGTTGATGATGGCAGCAGCACCACTACAACTGGCAGCAGCAACAACAGCAACAGCACCACAAGCAACAGCGGAAGTTGCCATCAGCAACCACACGGAAAACAAAACATAAAAATAGTAGTTACCTATTGTTGTTTTAATTTGTTTAAATTTAAGAAGAATTTTAAGCAAAAAAATTTAATATCCTAAACAGATTTCCAGACAAGTTGAAATCCAAAAAGTTATTTCACGTTTATTTCTAAAAATTGTGGAGATTGATAGAGAAATAAAATTGTTGTTTAGCAAATATTTTCGATATTTAAAGAACGGTATTTTTGGGCCAAATAAACACTTTCTAAAATTCATTATATTCAGAATTTATAATTATAAGTTATGGAGCATAGTACTAAATAAAGTATCAATACACATTTTTATAATACTTTATGTATGTATTTATGATGTATTTATTTGAATATATATAAATTAAATTATTTGAAAATTTAAAATCAATGTTTTTAAACTGAAAAATCCAAAAAATGTTTTCTAAATTTTCTACCTGTGCAGCAACTTGACGCCACCACAGCAGCCACCGGGCCGCAAAAAATGAGTTCACATATTCAAAAGCAAAATCATGTGGCAGACTTTAATTGTAGGAAAACTGAAGACGCAACAACAAAACAAAATCAGCCTCAAATTTCATGATGGACAAGCCAGTTTTGTTTTTGAGTTAATTTTATTACGTATTTGTATTTCGGATCTCTTTTTCATCCACGGCTAATTGCATTGCATGATCACCTGAAATGGGATATATGTATCTATGTATCTGCGATATATCGCAGCAAACTTTGTAAGCAAACCCGCCCATTCGAACTGGCAACATGTTGCCAATGTTTGGATTGTTGCCACCGTGTTGCTGCGACGGTCTATGTGTCTTATTCAAATGCGACGTAACTCGACCCACTTTCCAACTAAACGCTCCTCGGCAATTGTTATTTATTCGTTGCCATTTTTGAGGTATGAAAATTATAAATATTTGTGCAGCGAAATTTTGTGCAGGAAATGTCGAAGCAATTGACACGCTTTAAGCGGCATAGAGCGACAGGTGCCCAAGTGACTCATCAATGGGCCAAGTGTTTTCAGGTGCACTTATGCAAATACCTCTCTAATGCTGGCTAAAGTGAGCCGGGTAAATAAAGGATAATGTGAACTGTTGATGGTTTGATTGTTTTGTCACTTCATAGCTTGAAGCTTGATGGGGCTCTAAGTCCTTTTGGTAAATAAACAAAGAATTTACATTATAAACATTTATGCATTTTACTAAATAAAAAATCCACCTAAGTATTAATCTCTATGTTTATCTTTTTTTAATTCTCTTATACTTGTTTACCTTCTTTAATTTGTTTGTTAAAAATGAAGTTAATGTTCACAGTCCACGATAGAGTTCCTTATGAATACTATTATAATCAATTGAACAATCTAAATCTAAATTGCCATTTAAGTTATAATTTTTGTGGTCACTGGCTTAAAATTAAATAAAACTTTAAGTTTATATCTTGCAATGGTTAACGTAAAATTCAAAATATTTACTTAAAAATTTAGGTAATGGTACTTTTTGTAGCTTATCAACTTTAGAATTACATGAATATTTTTTAGAAACTAATTTTTGGAATGCAAAAACATGTCTTATCTTTTCTTTGAGAGACTGAAGTGTGGAAGTCATTGGCTTCAATAGCTCCACTGATGAGTTGGGTGTTGAAAGCGGCGTGCCGCCATGGCTGCAAAATGCATTCGATAATTGCTTTTAAATAATTAACTAAATTGCCAGCCAAGTCATGTTGGCCCGGCCAGAATCGTGCCATGGGGGGCGGCAGGAAGGTGGGCGGGGCTGTTGATGACTCGCTTGAATGCGCTTTGCCAGAGCGATGAGTTGACAAGGCTCTCTTCTTGAGGACGGATTCAGCGGTTAAACTGCAGTTTCGAATGTCAAATGAATGGGAATTACCTCAGAAGTACGAGGGCTCACAGAGAAAAAATACATTTAAGTTTAGAATAACAAATGTTTTACTATAGTATTTAAAATTTATTTGTCAAATTGTTCAAATTGCATTTTAATATTAGGCATTTCACGAATCATTAGTGATTTTCATACTTTAAAAATAAAGGATGGAAGATAATGTGTTTTATTAGTTTAACTATTTACAAAAATTTAAATAATTTAAGACAGAAAAAAAAGTATAATTATGTTTATATTAATCTATTTGTTTGTTTTTCTTATAGCTATGTAATCTTTAGTTTATTAAACTTCAAGCTGTTTGGATTTAACAAATTAACAATATAGTGATAGGTGTTTTCAATATAAGTTAGCAAACAGTGCTAATAGCTATGAGTAAATGATCAACAGAATTAGTTCGTTTTTTAATACTTTTTCTGCATGTATTACAAGTACAAAGTATTTAAATAATTTAACGTGAAAAGTACAAAGATAAGGTTTATTTTGATAAGTACAAGAGGGGTGATAAGTTTATGTGAATTCAGTTCTCTGTGTATTAATAAACCTTCAGCTGGCTTCGCATTTGAATTGCTAAACACTGCAAATAGCAATGACTCAGGGGAGTGAGCTCAGCTGAGTCCGGATCTTTTGGGCGGTGAGTCAATGGCCCGGGCAACATTTCCAAATGCATTTTCCACATGCCTAGACAGCATTTTTTTAGGCAATTTTCTTCATTGTGCGTATCCAGCCTGACCGTCTAAAATAAAACCCGAGTTCATAGATAAATCAACTGCACTTCGCTGCACAAAAGTAAATTAAGCGATGGTAACAGCAGTTGCGGGTGGAAAGCGGGCCGTCCGCCAGGAAAACTTGTAACTTTCCGTTTTCACAAGACTTTTCCACAATTACAATTTTAATTAGCGCCACTCGCACATAATTGCAAATGCCATAATGCATTTTATTGGCATGCAAAACGAAATGTAGCGCACAAATTATGCAAATTGCACGTTTAGCTGCAGGCATTTTGGCTAATTTCAGCGCATTTAAATGGAAACCGATTAATGATC